CTAAGGATCCTTTTAACCTTAGTCCAATATATATTAGATATTAAAAAATTCCTTAAGAAGTTCTCATATTCCTTAAAAATGAAGCAATTCTAGGATCCTCCTTAGACAACTTTATTAATCTTCTTAGAATTTTTTAGAATCTAATTGAATAGTTTGAAAACCTTTTAGAACCTTTTAAAATCTTTTAAAATATTTTTAAAATATTTTTAGAATCATCTATTAGAATATTAAAAAAAAAAAAAAAAAAAAAAAAACCTTCTAAAATATTTTATTAAAATATCCTCAGAACCTTCTTAAATATTTTAAAATATAATAGAATATTCTAATAATATTCTTTAAATCTTCTTGTTAGATATCTATAATAGATTTGAAGCTTAAATAATATATTTAGATAGATAAAAAAATTATACTTAACTAAGTTGTTGTCAAAGACATGAACTACAAACAATAAAAATCTCAATATATTCTTGTATCATTCAAAAAGAGTAGACATTCACTCAAAACTAATATTCTATTAGAATTCGAATGGCTATTATTAAAGATAAGAAGACTAGAGATTATTTTAAGAACAAAAAAAGTATTGACAAGAATAAAGAAGGCTTCACTCTTGCTTCTATATATATTATCTAAATAGGAGTTATATGGCAATATTCTATAGGACCTCCAATACAAGTTTAACTTACAAGACATGTGTCTAACTAATCAACTACAAACATGTATAAAGTCAAATTTGCATCTATATAGCTTCTAAAAAGCTTCAATATAAGGAATTATTAAATCTACTTACATTTATTTTTTAACTAATACTTCTTATTTATGTAATTAAATATGTTTATGATAGTGGTTTATTTCATTTGCAAAGGTTCTTGATTCTATACTTTAAATAACTAGTACTTTTTATTATTTATAATTATTTTAATAAATTATTATAAGATATTAGTCTTATTAGTAATAAGGACTTGGAAAGGTTGGATCATAGAGACCAGCTTATTGTAGGATAGCTTGGCCAAGTTCATTTGCATATTGGCATTGGATGTAGGATGGAAAATTCTTACTTATTGCAAACTTAATGAAGCTTATTTAGTAATGATTTATCCACCAATTGATATAGCTATGGTATATTTTTAAAATATATTCTTTTTTTAAGAATCTTAAATAAAGGTTTGGAAGGATAGTTAGTACATACACCAATTATTTTGTCATTCATTCCTTGTGGATACAATAACCATAAGTTCTTATATTCATTGATTCCATTGGATTTGAATCAAACTTTGTTGCATCATTGGTCCTTAATGCAACATTACCTTAAGTCCAATTGCCTATCAATTACAAAGAAAATGACTTTTTACATGACCACCAAACTTCTTTAATTGTTATCAAAGATGATGAGTCACCTTTGGCTTTAATAAACAAATTAGAAGCATCAATAATTGTCTTTTTAAAACTAATGACATACCTTAGATCATTTATATAATAGACATGTGGGCCAAGTAAAATTTAATAAGCTAATTTTTAAATCTATAAAGAACCTTTTACTAATAAGTAAGAAATAACTATAGATTTTTCTATAAGCAATATAAAATTCATGACTTCATTGAGTATTAACATTATTTTTTTGTTAAACTAAGTATTTACTTTCAATACCTTAATTTGCATTTGTAGTGTATGTCTTATTGTGCAACATAATTGCCCACTTATTTCAAGGTAGACAGCAATTGTAATATTAGAACCACAAGTCATTATGGTAGAAGAATAGATGTTACTTTTTTGCTTAAAGTGGCATAAAATAGAAGAGCTTTGTATTAAATGTATTTTTGCTACTTTAGCCTAAGATTTTTATAAAAATAGAGGCCTAAGATATAAGCTTGTAAATCTTTTTATAAGATATTTTATATCCTATGATTTCACAAATATCTGTAATTATTAGTATATTTATTTAGATAAGTAGGAGTAGGTAGAAATAAAGAAAAATAGATTATAAATTAAAGTATCTTATTGCATAATTTCTCAAATGCTTTATAGATGTGGATTTGGATGTATATATATTTATAGGTAATTAATAGATTAAAACTTGGACAACAAGTTAGCCTTATATTGTACACATTTTAGAAATATGTCTTACAAGTTAGATATTTATCTTATAAGTTGAATACATGTTATGTAGCTTATAGAAAGTTACCTCATAGCTTCGTAGTTAGATAGAATATATAGAGTTAGGAGTGAGGCAATATTCACTCTTGTTAGTACTTTTTTTGCTTCTAGTCTAGTTTTAAGAGTCTCGTCTTTTTGTCTTAAACAATAACTATTTTAATTTCTTCTTGAATATATATAATTTTTCTTTTTCTTGTATTATATTTCTATGATGTATGGTTCGTTTATTTATTTATATTATTTCAATTCTTATCCTTGACGCATAGACATTGTAAATTTGAATCGAGATAATAATAATAAAGCCTCTTCATTTGCTATAAGCAAGGATACTAGTAGCATAGGAGTTTCTTTTGATGTGGATTAGCAATTAGAGGTAGTATGATCTTCCCTTATAGCTTTAGTGGTGAAAAAAGAAACCAAAGAGTTTGATGATTAACCATTGGATTTGGGTCCACATATTAATAATGTGAAAGAATAAAGAGTATTAGCCATTATTTTGTTATGTTGTAGTTGTTTTGTTTTTAGTTTTAAGAATACAAAAGAATACAAAGGTGAATTAATCCATATTCAATCAGAAGCTGACTATCTAATTCTTTGATGATCTTGCAAATTCAATATTTTAGAAAAAGTTGGTGTAAAGACTTATTGTCAAGAGTTATTGGTTGTTGGCTTACTTGAGCTTTTTAATGATATGCACACTTATTCTACCATTATGTCTTTTAATAAGAATATATTTAACAATGAGATAGAAAATCAAATGTGTAGAAACTATCATACAATTATCTATAAGATTAAATTAAATTGATATCCAATGTCAATGCTAGAAGAGTTATTTAATGCATTGAGATTGTATTGAGTATTTAATATTCTAGATTTGTAATTTGGCTACCATCAATTGTTATTATTGGTAGATGATTGGATAAGGACAACATTTTAGAGAGAGGATCATGATAACAAAGATCAACTCTATTACTAGAAGTATCTTTTATTTAGTCTCAAGCATGCACCAATTGAGTTTCAAAGAGTAATGTTCCAAATCTTGATTGACTTAAGGATGTATTTGTTAGGCTTTTTTCATTGATAGTAGATTGCATATTTGATGTCGGTTTATGGCACACCATATGTTGCGTTTGATAATCTCTATTTTCACAAGTTGTCTAATCTAATTGTAGTATCTAATTGAATAGGCTATATTTTTAATCCAATAATATTAAATTGTAAAGCCAAGTTAAATTGTTTAGTAATACTCACTAAGGTTTTGATATAATTCTTGAATCATCAACATATGGACTTATGATTTGCTTGTTAGATTTCTAAAGAATATAGATTTTTTGAATCTTATCTTTTTGTTAACTTCTTAAATATCCAAATTGAGAAGTTCTTCTATCCAAAATAAATAAGAAATGGACTAAATAAGCAACATCTTTCTGATGAGAGGTACTTCATGAAGTAGCCATCAATATCCTACTAATTCTTGAATAGAATTTTAATCATTTGACATAATATGTCATTGAAGCCAAATTTGTTCAATTTGTGTAATGTTTGAATGTTAATAATTTACAACAACAAAATATGTGTTAATAATAATTGATAAGATTATAATATGAATGAATTATAGCATATTTTAAAATATTATGCACCAAACATAGATCTTAAAAATTAATCACATTGTTTTTTGAATGGTTAAAATGAAAATATTTAAAGATAAAGAACTGATTACAATTAAATTTATGCATAATTAATCATGATATTGGAGATAATCTGCAATAAAACAGTTATGTTGTTTTCAAAAGTGATAAATGTTTTTTTTGTTCAAGAGTCATATTACAACTGTACACACATTGCTTGTAAAACAAATATCAGATTTAAGTCTGTAAATTCATTCAAACATGTGAATACAATACAATACTAAATTTCTTGGGATCTAGGATTGATCATGTTTGTATGGACACTTTAATATTAAACACAAAGATTTACCTATGTATTAAAATCAAAAAAACAATTTGACGCTAAATTTTGCACATAAAAAAGACATAATGTTCGACACAAGTTAAAGCCAAAGTTTAGGGTTGTGTTGAAAGAAAAACCAAGCAACCACAGTAGAAATATTTTGAACTTAGAAAATGAAGGTATAAATATATATATATATATATATATATATATATATATGTATTTAAGATAGAATGGAGAGCTAAAGATGATAGAATTGACTACCCCCCCAAGAGGATGTTAACAATCTGTTGAATGCATCTTCCGACGCATGATGTTAAACTGGATCACATGAGTTGTTGAAAGCTTCCCGAACCAAAACTGTGAAGGAGAAACAAGCAGAGCGAGGATACCAGAAGCATGTGTATATCCACAAATACACGGCACCCGAATGCAGCACGGCACTTGGGAATTTGCACCATTTGGCATTGCTGACTTGGGTGATACCGATCCATCACGAATGCTGCTGATGATCATGGACACTGATTTTCCACCAGGGAGCAATCTTCTGGAACCCACTGCTACCATTACTTGTATGCCCACCTTGCCTGTGTGCCTCCAGCCCAGTCCAGCATCCAAAACCTAGGAGATTGAGATTCTCAGCACTTTGCGCATCATCCCACAGTTGCAACAATAATCCATTCGTAGAAGCATAACAGAGCCCAAAAATTTGCCTCTATTTTCAAATTTTCTAATTCCGAATTGATTGCTATGAATGAGGACAGCCTAGTATGTGCAACATCGACCAAGTGGGGGTTTGGTTCATAATTTTAATCCCAACTCGTAGGGCGATCGCGAGATCAACTCTGCTAGAAGTAGAAAAAACAACCTCGAAGCATTCAATGACATGCACCCACGAGTAATTGAAGACAAATAGAGCCTCTTTTTTCTTTTTTTTATTACACCTTTTAAGAGTGTTCATAAAAATACAGGGCGAAAAAAGGAAACCATGTAAATTGTTAGGGCCGCCTACAACAGCATACATCTCTACCCAACGCCCTACCTTCTAGTGTCGTAAAGGGAACTTATTTGAAGGAAATTTCTCAGTTTATGTAATTTTAGGTTTTCCCACCCCTCTGTCAGACCTTATCACACATATTTACAATCTCAAAACTGCCACAGACATGAAGAAGAGGACTTCGATCACTTCTCGGCCTCAAGCTCCTTTTTAAGCTGTACGGAGAAATCATCTGTGACGTCGTCGTCATCCCAATCATCTTCCCAATGCTGAACAGCACCCTTCGCGTCGCCAGCGTCGTCCCAAACCTCATTCTCAAACTCCTCAAATTCGTCATCATCCTCAAAGGCGTCCAACTTGGGGTCCTCCGGAGCAGCGTCTGCTTTCGTTGTCACTGCGGCAGTGCTCGCCGTCGCCGCCATAGCCACACACCCACGCAAGCACACACACGCACACAGACACACACAGAGAGAGGGAGGGAGGGAGGGAGGGAGGGAGGGCAATGTAAATATCTTCGAGGTTGCGCACTCAACAACTGAACACTGAATGAGCCAACCCACCTCCACTCCGAGACAACAACATCCATGACCTAGTGAGAAAGATATACATAAATATAATTGTGGATGAAGGAATAGCATCTATCATCCCTATGTGGATGAAAATAAGTGTAGGGCAAAGCACAGACAGACAGATAGAAGGTACATGGGAACCAGTTAGTTTCCTTCCCTATCCAGGGGTGCCTTCGTCGAAACTTCCTAGCTTCCATCGCCGTTCTCATTTATTTATTTATGGAAAGCTCGCTGGTCCCCGGGAATCGCTCAAACTTCACACAAATTCGTGGGATTGTGGGATTGCGAGTTCAATGATGACCTTGTGCATTTCGCCTGGAATTTTGGGGAGTTGGGCAGTGCTCACGATTACCTGTTGTTCGTCTGTGTTTTTCTGCGGCGTCAGTTTGAAGTTTTTGGATTGTGGGGTTTGTTCGTGACAGTGTTGGGCTTTGAAGCGGGATGAGTCTGTTTACTGCATTAACCAATTTTCTAAAAAACAATTTGGGCATTTATATTTCGATTTGGGTTAAGCTCAAGTGAAACTCCCCGCAGGTGTGAGTGTGGATAGTGAGTTAGGGTTTTTCGAGGGTGTAATTCTGCATGGCAATTGCTTAGGAACTCGACGATGTTCTTTGTTCTTGAGTTCGGTGCACTGACATTTCGACCCGAACCAACCTAGAATAGAACACGAAGAAAACCACAGAGGGGACCAATTAATAACCACGTAGCCTGTGCAATTAATTAGATTTCCGTAGCTAGTGCCGTTCCTGTCTTAAAAGAACCAAGAATAACGTTCTTATTGAGACACGATCCAGTTCAGCCTGAGAGAGCTTGAACTGGCTGCGGCGATGGATGAGCCTCTGGATCACATTGTGAACATCGAGGAAGGGGACGAAGATGCTTTGGACGCTGCTTTAGAAATGGAGCTGGCCGCCACCTATGCCAAGTTCCCGGTGGTAAGGCTAAGTCAATTCCACTTCATTCTTTATTTCACTTCATCTTGATAACATTGCACTCATTACTAGGGCAGGAGTTAGTCTGACATTTTTGCGATTGTGAACATTTTAGTCGCAGATGGTGGCGTCTGCTAAGCTGGTCGGTGAGAAGATTCCGGTCGTAATTGAAGAACCGACTTCGTCTCACCTAAGCTTCGCGTTTCCCGGGTGGGAGAGTGACATATTCCAAGGGGGAAAGCGCAAAATGCCGTCTACATCCGGATACATCGATGACCCCCAGTCCTCACCAAGCAAGAGAGGCAAGCAAGTCAAGAACACAGACACAGCAGGTCCAAGCAGAGCTTCGTCTGCACTGGAGGATCCCACTACTCCACCAGTTGAGGGTTGTCCGATGGACTCGATGGACGATGAGCTGCTGGCATATGTGTTCAAGAAATTGAATATGAAGGATTTGTGTTCAAGCATGCGAACATGCAAACGATGGCACCGAGTCGCTTGTAAAGAGGATGTTTGGGGGCACCTCCCCTTGCCTGCAAATGTTCCTGGAGCCTTACCGAGGTTTGTCACTTGAACCAGTGCTGTCTATCTTTTCTGGCTTAGGATTGGGACTGGTGGAAGTTCGTCAGATATTCAGGCGTTCTTTAAAGCCGTTTGTTGCAGAGATGCGGGAGCCCGCATAGCTGTCTTTATCTTTGAAGAAACAACATCTAAAAACCCGCTGATTATGAGTCCATGAAGACAGAAGTTTCCTTCTGGCTGGAAACGAGAATAAGTAAATGAAACTAATAACAGTCTGTTTAAATTAGTTATATACATACATGGAAAATACTTACATATTAAAAGGAACTCTTTGTTTATAATTCAATAGATCCGTGAAGCAATAATATGTTAGTCAAGCGTAATCGAAGGCATTTCCTGACAGGTCTATACGAGCTGTTGCGTGGCTTATTACCACATTTGGGGGCTGAAAGCATGACCTTCTGGTATGTGCTCTCCCCAAGTTTTTCCCTGGAGTATTACTTGGATCGCTGTTGGTTACCCGTATCCCACCCCCCCGCAGTCTCGAGACCTATGCAATGTTGCTTATCCCATCGTCAAACTATGACGTTCAAATAGTAATCTTCCCGTTTCTTAGGTGCAGGGATTTCTAACCGAATGAGTATAATGGATTATCTTCACTAACACTGGATTCATGTGTGTGGGCGTGTGTAAAGATGGATGGAAATACGAAATGCTGCAATGTCGATGGATCTAAGAGTTCGATTTCAAGTCTTCCGAAGAGGTTATGATTTTATTCGATCAGCACTCGATGCTTGGTGGAACCGTGGAAAACCGGATGGCGAGTACCCTTCTGCGATCTTTCGTTCATTAACCCAGAAGCTTGTTATTAACGATTGGTCTCTTCTATATGAAGCTTTTGGAGCTGCATTTTCTGATCGTGCTGATCATATAGCAGTTATTATTCTTGAAGCTGTCCAAAGGCTTGAGCATTTGAGGCATTCTAAATACAAAGATGTCATGACAAACTCGACAGAAGATGCTGAGGGCGATCTTCCTGAAGTGTTTCCGAAATTATCCTCGAAATCAGATGGGGATTCAAAGGCTTCGGGAAGTCGGGAGGAATTCCTTTGGGATGAAGCTGAGGTTCAAGAGACTTGGACACTTCTACTGACATTATGGAGGCGGTATAAGATATGGCTAATGCTTGTAGTTTCACATTGCCCAGAATTAAACCATGAGGTCATGGCTGAGCGTGCACGTGGGTGTGTCTATTCTCTGCCCTTCTATTAATTATTAATGTATTGTATTCCGGGCTTGTCTTCACAATCAGCCACAGTTTTCAGTTCTTTTATTATGGTTTAGCTGGATGGAGTGGCGTTGTTGTGAACATTCGGGATAGGATAAACCTTTCAATTGCTAGATGCTATTTTTATGGTGTGAACATCTTCTGTTAGATATAAATTGCTCAATTCATCTCAGAAAGCGTATTTGTCTGCAGCGATGGAATAACACTTGAGTTTTGAGGTTTTGTGACCAATACTTCTATTTATAGTTGATTTTAGACTTAACTCTCATTTTCCAATGGGATTTCATATTTGGGAGGACAATATTGGAGTTATTATCAATGCGGTGATACAATAACGGTTTAGCTCGAATGAATGATCACTGATTTTTAATTTGGTGATTTTAATCTTGTTCTTCAGCACTTGACTATTAACCTGCTTTTGTTGTGTGTAAAAATTTGTGCAGCAATGTATTGGCCACGACTCCAACAGTTTATGGTAAAGGGATAATTTGCTTCAGGTATATTGCCCCCGGATGTCGCTGAGATTTGTTGCACCTTGGAGATTTGTTGCACTTGCCGTTATTTTGGGTCACACCCCGTTAGGATGTTACATGGTCAGGAACTTGCTGCTCGAAGGATGATCCAGAGTTCACGGAATTCGCTGTGATCATTTTTTGATTACTAATGAGGAATACATGCCGTCTCAAGAATTAAATCCTTTGATAGCAATTCAGGTACTAATGGAAATCTTTCTTCCGGAGCGAATGCAGGAGCCAAGTCATTTTGAAGTATGGCATACGAAGTGTGTTACAAGCAACTTGGTCAGGATTGGCAAATGCAAAGCGTAGTGGATTGGCCTCCGATATCCAGCTCGACCTTTTCCGCTCTGTCGACCATCTATTCCAGGTGCGTAAGTAAACGTGCTGCATGCCACTATTAAGGATATCAAAGTTGCTGCTCGGTGTTGTATGGCCAATACATCAGGTTTTGTTTTGAGCTAGAATGGAGGCGGCTCGATACTGCACATTATGAGCATCCTACTTATTTTACATTTTGTAGGTGGCCTAATTGCGCCTGTTTTGCGATTCGTGACTTTTGAAGTTGCTTTGCATCGCATTGACTGTGTCAGCATGTTCCTCAGTGAACATTTCACTGTTGTTATTCATATCCTTTTTTTGGTGACTTGACAGGAAACAAGTGTGCTAGATGATCTTACTCTCTCTCTCATGACTTTCACACAACAGAAGTTACGACGTTGTTTTGGTAACGAAACTTCTAGCAAGGCTAAGTCCAAATTAAAAACAAATCCTGCCTTGAGTTCTGCTGAAGCTGACGGCGTTCGATTTGCGAGGATGGCAATGATAATCAGAAAATCGTGACTGTGGGTGCAAAGGGACAACTACAAACGGTGGAGACCAACTATCTTTGGAAGCATTAACTATAGTTTACTGTGTCACTGTTGTTGGCTGCGGTGCAAGGCGATGCCTATACTGCTTTTACAACCACTCTCAGAAGGATCGCAGCAATCCGCTTCAACATCTCATTCCTTAGCGCCTCCAGCCTTTTCAACCAATTTACTTAGGATGATTCTTGCACACTATTAATTGGAGGGGAAGCCGCAGGTAGATGTTTTGGGTCGACTCATCGAATTCTCATGCAGAAGCAGTGTCATCTGTGCTTTTGAAGCGCAATGGTTACCGACGAAGGCTAAGCCTCCTTGAATCGCGTTGCAAGTCTTTAAGCTGACGTGCCCATGTGTGGCAAGGTTGATGCTGCTGAGTATGAAGTTTCCTTCAGCAGTATCCGCTATGGTCTAATATTCTTTTCAGTCCAGTGTGTTCATGAAGGTACGCACACGTCAAATTCGTATGCTTTGTGTAGTCCTTGGAGCAAAGACCAAGCCGGGGCACGATTTGATGAGCGTAAACTGCATGGTGGCTCTGGAGGTATTCGTTTCTATGGATTGCATGTATATGCAGCATGTTGTAGTGTGCTACACATGCTGTTAGAGTGAAGCTAGGCAGTTGACAGTTACTGTAGCTGATTGTATCCTTCGAGGAGGTCAACCACATAGTTTTTCCAGCGCAGAAGCTGAGATAAAGTCCTATTTTATCCATGAAGCTCATGGGATCTTATGACGATAACGCATTGGATTTACTCATCAGCTTATAATATACAAGTGATGCATCAATTTCGAAGTTGATTGTTGGCATTGACTTGCAAGCGGCTGCTCTTGGAAACCTATGAGCATAAGTAGGGGTCAAGTGAGGCATATAAGAAAGACCTTTTTATGCAGTTTACTTAAAAAAGACCGATAGGGTTCTGTTTTTAGGATTACTTGTGTTATTTTGTATGTGTGGACACATGCCGGATCAATTTCATGATATGGATGAAACCTCCTATGCATCTTTTTGCAGATCATGACCTCATCAGTGTCTATTCAGGCTCTAGCACATAAAGCTGGTTGTGGACTTTGTATTACAAGGAAGTTGAGAAGACAATAAAAATAAATTGAGAAGAAGGTTTGGAAAGAGAACTATGGCAAGAGTATAATATTTTGTCATAGACATACATAATTATTTAAATAAAAAGTGTTAGATAGAAAATAAATAAATGTAGATTTGATAAAATCTGGTATATTTTGCTTTAGACATGTTTGTAATTGATTAATAGGTTGAAAACCTGGCCAATAAGTAGGACATGTATTGTACATATTAGCAACTTGTAACATAAATCAATCATATGGCATACATGGACAAAACTTGCCTTATAACTTAGACATATGTTAGAGGTCCTATAAAACATTGTCACATATCTCCTAGTTAGATAATATATATGGAAGTAAGAGTATAATCTTCTTCACTCTTATCAATGAATTTTTTGTTCTTAATTTTGTTTCAATAGTTTATAGTCTTTTGTCTTTGGTAATAGCCATTCTAGTCTTAAATTATACCATCTTTGAGTAATTATCTGCTCTTTTTACTAACAGAAGAGTATATTAAAGTTTTTATTGTTTGTAATACATATTTTTGACATTTTGATAAGAGTGCTAATATATAGATACTCACTTCTAAAAAAAAACAGCAACAATGAATTTAGAAGTGAGTAGATTATCTCACTTCTTTTATTGTACTTTAAAGGTTGCAAACTACCCACTTTCAAATTAATATATTTTTTTTTTTAACATTAGTTCTTTCTTTGAAGAAAGTAGACTACTCTTTATTGTGGAAATTTTCATTTGCTGTTAGAGGTTGCTAATTATCTTCTTTTAATTTGATTTAAAAATTTATTAAAGTCGTTTGTTATAAAGATGGAAGAAAAAATTATGGATGCTATACTTAGCAGAAGTGAGAATAGATTTGCAACTATTGCAAATCTTCATAAGCTTGTCAATATACTTAAGATAAAAATATCACATATTTTTAAATTCAACCATGAAAATATTATTTCTACATCTAAGAAAAAAATTAACAATAAAGTTCATAGTTTATATGAAAAAGTTTTGCAGTTGAGAAAAGCAAGTAGATCAACCTTACAATTAAATCCAAAAAGACTTGCTATTATAAGTATGAAGGAAGTAAAAATAAATATGTTGAAAAAGTCTATTGGAATAAGTTCAAAATATTAAAAATTTCTATAATAAGTTAAGTCCTATCTAAAATTTTATGCTTTCCAACATTCTAATGGATTTACTTAAGTTGGATTCATATATAGACTTCTATATAGAAGTGCTCTCTCTTGGTTTGCATCCTTGATAGAAAAAAATTCATAACTTTTTTATAATTTAAATTGATTCTTAGAAGTATTTTTGGCTATATTTATAAAAAGTGATTAAAAAAATGTAGCAAAGACCAATCTCTTATCTTTATAATATAGATCAAGTTCAGCTATCATATGTGCTATTGAATTCCAAAACCTTACTTGTGACATGGATGGAAATGCCAAAGCTTTTATCAATTAATTTTGATGTATATTAAAAGATAATATGAATGACTTCTTATTCACAATACCAAAGTAGATTTATTAAAATAATTTATTATTGAAGCCATTGCATGAAATAATTGACTTTTTGAAAGATATCAAAAACAAAGATTTGATTAGAGACGTAGAAATCAAGCTATGACAATTATTTTTTAAGTTTTTAAAAACTTATTCATTAAGGCCAAATCCAATATAAATTGATATAATATATTTTGAATTTTTTAGTGACTAAGAAAAGACATGGCGTTATTAAAAAGATTTGTGCTTATATTATAGAGGATTTAAGTATACTACTCAACATTGTTCAAAGAAGCAATACAATCACAAAATAAAAAAACAAGGTTGCTAAAGATGACAATGTGTTAGAAAATAAGTTTGTTTAGATACAATAGGGACTATACAATTGGAATCTCATGCAAGATCCTATAAAAGACATGCTCTCTCCTTAGATCCTCTACCTTGCCTTATAATAGATGTTTGTTTAAGACCAAAAAATTATAAAGTCTTTATCTTATTAGATTAAATAATCTTAACTTGTTTTATAAACAAAGATTTTGTTAAAAAAAAATTAATCAAAAAAATTAAGTGCATAGATATAAAAGTCATAGATGGTTGTTTGTTGTCTTTTGGAAATATTATTCATGAAACTATTCATTTAAATGTAGCAACTAATAAATGTAAAAGCTTAGTAATATTTAATATGCTTAAATATCCATCCAACTAAGTTATTTTGGAATTATCATGGCTAAAGAAATGTAAACCTCAATCACACTAAATTTCTTATAATCTTAATTTTTTATATAGTTTAACTCAAAACTTTATTATTTAAGTATAAAGTCATAAGTCCAATATAACCAAATTCTTATTGATAGGTTTAAGAATTTTTATGCATGTTGTAAAAGAAGAATCACCTTTTATTATTTATGCCACATTCATTTCTAATAGTAAAAAGACTTCAAGTAGTATTCAAAGCCAATATATGAAATTATTTTAAAATATTTAAAGAATAAAATAAAAAACATTCTTTTAAAATATTATTCTTATGATTGTTAAATCTATCTTCAAGAAGGAAGTCAACTGCTATTTGGACCAATCTATTGCTTATCACAAAACAAGTTGGCTATATTGAAGGAATACATTAATGAATATATGGTTAATAATTTCATATACTATTTTAAATCTTTAATAGAAGCTCTTATTTTATTTGTGAATAAAAAAAGATGGATTATTATAGATGTGTGTAGATTATTGAGAATTAAACAAGATCACTATCAAAAATAGAAATGCTCTACCTTTAATTTTAGGACTTCTCAATTAATTGAATTAAATAAAGATATATATAAAAATAGATTTATAAAGAGCATATAACCTAGTATGCATCAAAAAAGGAGATGAATAAAAAACTACAATTTAAATCATGTATAAATATTTTAAATATAATGTCATGCCTTTTGGACTCATAAATGCATCAACTATTTTTTAAAATCTTATATATGATGTTTTTTTAGAATTTCTTAATTATTTTATTATTTTTTATTTAAAATGTCTAATAAGTGGAAAAGTAAAGCAAAAATTGAAGTTTTGAAGATAACTTTTATTTTTATACAAATCTTACATTACATAGACTTCTCTAAAACATTTTTTATAGCACATAGAACTTTGTTTTGGATGCAATATTTTTCACAAATAAGAGTAGATGACAAAACTTCATCTTGTAGCTATTTATTTACAATTTTCTTTAGCAATCAAGATTAATCATAATTTCACAATAAAAAAATATATAAAAAAAACTAAAATTGCAAATTCATTTAAAAAATAGTGCCAATATTTAGAGGGCACTTCTAATTAAATTACTATTTATATTAATCATAAGAACCTTGAATATTTTATGTCAACATTTATTCAAAATTATAGCATATCTTTGTCAAGTTTTTAATTCAAGATAATTTATTGATAAAAAAAATTATTTGATGTTCTTTTTAAACACTCTTATTTTATATCAAAAGAAAAAGATGTAGCCTTTGATAAACAATGAATGATTCATTTGAAGCTAGGACACTTTTATCTTTAGGTTATAAAATCAATATTGATTGTTAATTCAATTCTTTTCAAGCAAGTTCAATTAAGTATGTCCTTAGATCTTATTGTTTATAATATTAAAAATAATCTATTCAAATTTTATTCTATTTCAAAATTTTAATTCAAGAATAATCTAATCTATTTTGAAGAATATTTATATATTTTAGAAGTTAAAGTTTAATTATGTGTTCTTTAAGCTCATCACAACTTCCCACTTATTAGACATTTTAAATACAATAGGACTTTGGAGCTTTTATTAAGAAATTTTTAATGGCTTTAAATATAGAAGACAATTAAAAACTTTGTATAATCATGTGATTTTTGTTTAAGATCAAAAAAATCCTTGTAACCAATCTTGTAGACTTCTCTAATCATTACTTATATTTAAACAATCATAATATTCTTTTTCTATAGATTTTATTATAAATCTTATAATATCAAATTCTTATGATTTTATATTCATGGTAGTAGATTATTTCACTAAGATGGTACATTTTGTACTATGTACTAAATCTATCACAAGATCAAAAACAACTAATTTTTTTTTAAAAAATATTTATTACTATCATGGATTACTAAAGCATATTATATTAAATAGATGAATTCAATTTATATCAAAGTTTTAGAGAATCTTTTTTGAAATTTTGAAGATAGACATAAAACTATGTTTGGCTTTCTTTTCTTAAAATAATAGACAAATTAAATGGATAAATTAAGTTTTAGAGCAATATTTGGAGTATACCATCAATTACCATTAAGATGATTATATAACTTTTTTGGCATTAATAAAGTTTGATTATAATAATATAATATTTTTTTATTTAATAAATATCTTTTTTTATCAATTATGATTATCATCTATAATTTGATACTTTTGACATCTTAAAAGTTAATAACCTTGCTATAAAAAAAATTAAAAATCATTTATTAGAGTTTTATACTTGTCTATAGTTGATTGATAAATTGAAAACATCGCCAAGAAGTTGGATATAAATTGCACATGTTGGTGACTTATGATACAAGTTGGACATGAGGCACACATGGAAGAAATTTTCCTTGCAAGTTAGACACGTGTTGGAAGTCCTATAGAACCTAGTATAGATAGTATATATGGAAGCAAGAGTAAAACCATTTTTTACTCTTATCAACATCTTTTTTATCTTATTTTAATTTCAAGAGTCTTTAGTCTTCTTGTCTTTGACAATATCTATTCTAATTCTAACAGTATATTACTTTTAAATAAATATCTACTCTTCTTGAGTGACACAAGACCGTATTGAGGTTTTTATTATTTATAATTTATATCTTTAATATATTTTAATAATATCAATCGATCAAAATGATTTATAATTCTTTGTATTTAATTATCAATAGATTGATTTAAGTATTAGGTGGATTGATTTAATAATTTCTTATATTTAATTAATTGATATTTAAATAATATAAATAATAATTAAAAATAAAATATGTACATAAAATTTAATAATTAACTTATAATATACAATTTTTTTGTATTATAATACGATTATTAGGTGAAAGAAAAAATAAATATTATATTATAGAAGAGTTTATTTTAAAATATAATAAAAAAATTACCTTAAAAAAGTAGATAAAAATTAAATAAGTAATAAATAATAATTTACTATTGATATTTTTTGCAAATGGTTGATAAAAATAGAACTTTTAATTATTTTGTAAAGCCTAAATAAGACAAATTAAAGTAGATTAGCAAAAATAATATTATATATATTTTTAGGTAAAGTAAAAATTAATTATCAGCATAAGTTACTTAGAAAAACTTTAAATTGATATCCAAAGAAGATTGGTTATAAATTAAGGTTGAAACCATACCTTGAGGTACAAAACTGCATATCTATATTAAATGTAAGGCTCTTTGTTAGTTGGAGAGCAATGTTGGAAAAAAAAACTTGATATGATTATTTTAGCATTAATTATAGTAATTTAATAGAATTTTTTTTTTAAGACCTTTGCAAATTTAATCTTATTTTGAGTGATTTTTTTTTAGAATAAAAAAATAATTATATTATAAAAAAATTATAAATTTTGAAGCAAATCTGCAAAGAAAATTATGAAGATTTGTAAATGTCATTATATTAGATGTATATTTTGAATATGAACTTAATTAATTATTTAAATCAAAACTTATTAAATTCAAGTAAATCATGATCTTAGAATTTGGATTTTGAAGGTTAGTGAGGGTTTCTATGATTATAAATAATTTGCTAGTTGAATTAAAATGATTTTTTTTATTAATTGATAGTTGACTTAGTTTTTTATATCTAAGTAAATTTTTTATAACAAATAAATATAAAGAAATAAAAAATTAATACTAAAAGATTGAAATTAAAGTTAGAGAATGAAGATGGCTAATATTTAAGCAAATTAGGAGTTTTTTTTCTATTAATCTATAAATTTAGTTTTTTTAAAATTTTATATGTTTATTTTCAATTTTTAAATTGATAAGTGATTTTTTTGAAATCAAGATCAATGGTTAAATTAATAATTATTGAGCTTTTAAATTTTTTTAGAATTTTATTAAAGTTTAAATAAAATCTACTATAAATAAATTTATAATTTGATTACGATTTATTTATGATTTGTAAGGATTAACTATGGTTTAATTACAACTTTTATAAGATGCTTTATGATTTTTCTATGATTTCTTCAGAATTTGTTAGGATTTTCTTAAGATTTTTTTATGATTTAATTAAGGTTTTTTAAGATTATTTAAGGTTTATTAGAAGTTGATTAGCGTATGATAAGATATTTTGAAGATTTCTTTTAAAGTTAACAAGGTATCCTTAGCACAATTAGAAACTTACTTAAGTTATTCAAGATTGCCAAAATGGTGTTTTTAACACCTGATGCATTGTTTTTGGATTGTAAATCCAAATTCAAGATAGAATCAAATCCTCCCTCTATGAAATGTCTAAAACATTCTCTTATTGATTTTCACATAATACAACAATATAGAATTGACAAAACAATGTGTAGAATGTTTCAAATTATGGTTTCATTCAACAACCAGCTATTAATAATATGTGATCCTAACCCATAAAAAAGCAAATCAGATAAGTGAAAGAAAAGATTTGAGTCTTACATTTTTTTCAAAACACAATTAATAAACATTAAGATTGATAGATAAGGGGTTGTGTTGAAGATAAGTTGTCATATAATAATGTTCATGACTATTCAAATTTATAATCATAAATTACAAATTACAAATCATTTATTTCACAAACTAACTCAAGATCATCATAACAATAAACATGGTAAACTAAAAATTTCAAACATTTCATGGTCAACTTTGTATTATTTGGTTTTATTTTAATTTTGCAAACAATTCTCATTTATAGGGTTAAAAATCAGTATTTAATGATGATTTTATATGAAACAAAAAATGTTGCAATTAAATTCACAATAATATCTACATTTCTGATATAATTTAATTTATGATGCAAAATTGCAATAATTGTATTCTGTATTTATTTAATTAATTAAAATAATTAATCTATTCATGACATAATCATAATTGATTATTGATCAAACTCCTATTATATTTTGTTTTACTTATATTTGGTAAAAATATTTCATTACCAAATTCTGATTGTTTATAAGTATCTCTATACAAAATGTTGAAATTGTAAAAATGGTAAAGATCTATTAGTAAAGGAATGATGTAATTACTTTTAGTTGATTATTTTAAAACTATCAACTGTTGGTTCTTTGTAAGAAGGTAGGAAATGTATGTGCATTAAAATTTTACAATTTTGCAAACTCTAAAAATTCAAATGCACCGATTTGATGTAATGTTTTCAAACAAGTACAAAGAACAACTATTGATTTGAGAATTTTCCGAGAGAAGAACCCAGGAGAGGATCACAATTTAATTTTAATTATGAACAAATAAATAAACGAATAAAACATCAGGGCATTAAATTAAACTCATTGACAGGGGTTGGGAAGGTAGAAATGCAACGATTGAAGGGTGAATATCTATATATATATATATATATATATATCTATATATATATCTATATATATAACGGTGCTAAATAATGCAGCAATGAATGAATGAAGCTGGAACAAGGGCATGCTTTGACAGAGTTGTGGGTCTCATTTTGCAGCTAATTTGACCAAATTGCAACTGTGCACAGCCACGAAGAAGGAGGATGAGCACGAAAATGCAAGGAAAGAGGGAGGAGGGTATGGGGGATGGGGGGAGTCCATTTTGTTGGGCAGCCGCGGTGTGAACGTGGCCGAGAACTGATTAGGGCATGGATGAATTAGGGCTTTAGGAGCGGCCAGAGGCAAAAGCAAGCAGCTCCATACAGTTCTGCTCTCTTTCGGCCTACGCCTGCCCTGCCTCCCACTGCTGCCGCTGCTCCGTCCTCCGCAACAATGGCGGTCGGCAAGAACAAGCGGATTTCCAAGGGAAAGAAGGGTGGCAAGAAGAAAATGTACACCTTCCCTACCTTGCCCTCCATTACCTCCAGTGCCGCACTTGTAGGTTTGTGTTGCTTCCAAATGTTCCTTGAGCATTTGGTCTAACATGGAGATGTTTGAGTCTTGTGCAGCGTCGATCCTTTCTCCAAGAAGGATTGGTATGACATCAAGGCTCCTAACACCTTCACGCAGAAGTCGTTGGGGAAGACCCTCGTCACCAGGACGGCGGGTACCAAGGTGCGAGGGTTTGATTGTTTGTTTGTTTTTATTTATTTGTTTGTTTATTAAAGTTGGGTTTATCTCTGACCTGGTATGGTTATACTGTGCATTTCTGTAATTAGCTTCTGATGAGAGGTTTTGTTTGTTTGGGTTTCAGATTGCTTCCGATGGTTTGAAAGGTCGTGTGTTCGAGGTCTCTTTGGCTGACCTGCAGAATGACGAAGATCAGGCCTTCCGCAAGATTAAGCTTAGGGCTGAGGATGTGCAGGGCAAGAATGTCCTCACCAACTTCTGGGTGAGCTCATTGTTAATGTACATTATTCCGCCTACCATATCAGCAGGGTTTGCATTCAATCACTGTTGCATGTCCTTTCCACGGCGGAACTTACAAGTGCGATACTGGAATGTTGTAGGGGATGGACTTGACGACGGACAAGCTGAGGTCATTGGTGCGCAAATGGCAGAGTCTGATCGAGGCCCATGTGGATGTCAAGACTACAGACAACTACCAGCTTCGCATTTTTTGCATTGCATTCACGAAGAAGCGGCCAAACCAGATCAAGAAAACTTGCTATGCTCAAAGTAGCCAAATTCGCCAGGTTTGTGTCTTCGCAACATTGCTACACCGCTGCTGACTCACTTGTTTAATTTAAGACTGTATCTGTCCAAGACATCATATAACACATGGGATTCTACTTTAAAGCGATAAATTGCTGATGAGTAGAAATTGTTCGGGACAAAACTAAACTCTTCTGAAGTATACGTGGAAGAAGTAAATATGGCGACCTGTTCCTCCGAAAGATTATCTGTCGATCATAGATAAAAGGCCAGCATACAATGGACGATGGTCGATTTTTGATTGAGTTGCGCTACCATGGAAGTGCAGATCAGGCGTAAGATGAGGGAAATCATGACACGTGAAGCCCAAACTTGTGACTTGAAGGAACTGGTTGCCAAGTTCATTCCCGAGGTGATTGGGAAGGAAATTGAGAAGGCAACCCAAGGAATCTATCCACTTCAGAACACTTTCATCAGGAAAGTGAAAATCCTTAAAGCTCCCAAGTTCGACCTGATGAAGCTCATGGAGGTGAGTCAAATTTTGATCACGATCACTTGAGGGCGTTTGCAACGCCCAAATACCTCTTGAGTTTAAGCACTGCTTTTTAGAATCATGCATGTGCTTCTAAATATTCTAGAACAGGTGATTAGTGTTTATCTCGTTTCTTTGAAGGTGTTTTTACCTGTTAGTTGTAAGGCGGAATGTCCTGATGTCAAGCGTGGTGGTTGGATGGGTAGGTTCATGGAGATTACAGCGAGGAAGTTGGTGCCAAGATCGATAGGCCTGTTGGAGATGACACCGCGGCTGATGCTCCTGCTGCTGAGGCAGTTCCCGGAGCCTAGATAGTCATCATGTATTTCGCTGAATTCAGGAAAATGCAATGAAATGTTCCAGGCTCTTCCTAGTCATGGAACCTATTTCGCAGTATGCCAATATCAAATAATTGAGTCCTTGCATGAAGCGTATTATAAATGGCGTGATCTCAGGTGGTGACGAACATCAACCTGTGTGTTATCAGAGTTGGGTGATGCGATTGTGACTATCTCGCTTTATACTAACGCATCGTGTGTTTCTTATGATGTTTGCTAACCACCCGCGCTGAATCTGTCGTGCTTTGCCTTGTAATTTGCTATACTGTGCGGGAGTGTCAAGCCCAGTGCGTAGTGTAGCTGCCTCTTTTACAGTAGCTGTCAGAAACGCGTTTGAATCGTTTTTCGTGTTGAACTGTACACCTCCTTCGGTCCTGCATATGAATTATTTTTGAAGTATCCAGCGACTGACAAATTTTCTTGGTAGACAGATCTGGTTCTGCTAAGCGCTCTGAGAAACCTGACTTGATTATGAATGCTTCTTAAAGACCACGGAGAGTTCGAGTCGAGTGTTAACATTGCCAAATGATTAGTGGCTTCTTAGCAGCTAGAAGCTTCTCAAAAAAGTTCTTCTAACCATGTAGGACACTTATATTCTTTACACTCTACAAATAATCAATGTAGTTAACATCATATTATTGCAAAGATCAAATTTAATACTGCCTTTAACATATATATCACTTCAAGATGCAATTTAAATCTAGTTTCATATCAATGTGATGTGTCCGTATTGCTTCTGATATTTCTTTTAGACTAAAGGATGCATCAAATATACCTAAATATTATATTTTTGAATCATTCATTGTATTAAACAATGGATTAAATACTATTTCATACTGTACGTATCTTCATTAATTGTCAAGCATATTTAAACCAAGAGTACTAGGTTTTAGTTTTTAAACTTAAATAAATTACTAAAGAAAAAAGTGGAGTAGTCCATTGGTACTATATTTACTATAAACATTCTGATAGTCAATAATTAAAACATTTCTTTTCTGTTAGAAGGATAGATGTAATAATTTTGTTTGTGACTATTTATATAAATGTTTGATGATTTTGGTAAATGATAAAGAAAAAATAAAGTAACTAATGGAAATAATTTTAAAAAAATGTAGAAGTAGAAATCTCAGTAAGTTGTGTGCTTTATTTCAATTCTTTAACTTGAATCTATTCAAACATAGAAAGCATACTCCACACAAGTAAGTTAGGACCAGCAAGGTTGCAATTTAACAAATAGAGTGTGGTATAAGATAATTCTTCCCATGCCAACCCTTTCCTTATATACTAGTACCAAGGTACCATGTGCTACAACCCATATGGGATATCTTCTAGCATCAGCCTTCCCCTTGTACTTTAATGCACTATAGACCAGCACCTAACCTTATGGAATATCCGTAACAACACTTGTACTCTATTGACCATTAGCAACTACTTAAAGAGTTCTTTCCTTCAACACTTCCACTTTACTATTGGTCAATTAGCTATCAATCCTAATGCCTTACTCAACTTGTTGTGTCTTTCTCTAACTAAGGCTTTTGTCAACAAATCAGCCAACATGTCTTTGGTTTCACAATACATCATATCAATAACCTCCTTCTCTATCTTCTCTCTTATGAAATGATGCTGAATATCAATGTGCTTGGTTCTTGCATGATGCTTTGGATTCTTTGCAAAAGCAAGACATCCTTGATTGTCACACCTCAATGGAGTGGCCTCCAATTGCACAAGTCCAATATCTTCCAATAACAACCTCAACCAAATTGCCTCCATTGCTCCATGACTTGCTGCCATGTACTCCGCCTCCATTGTGGACCTTGCAATGGTTGGTTGTCTCTTGCAATTCCAAGATATGGCTCCCACTCCAACAAAGAATACATAGCCCGTTATTGACCTTCTATCGTTTGCATCTCCAGCCCAATCCGCATCATAATATCCATGTAATGCAATATTATCTCCTCCAAGACATAGTTTGAGGTTCAAAGAGCCTTTAAAGTACCTCATGATTCTCTTGATGGTTGCCCAATCCATAGGACTTGGTTTTGCCATGTGTTGGCTTACAACACTTACCGCAAATACAAGATCCATCCTTGTGCCTACCATTGCATACATGAGTGAGCCTACTGCTGCCTTGTATGGTATGCCTTGCATTTGATGCTCAACTTCAGCATACTCCTCATCCGTGAGCTTCATCAACTTCAAGTTGGCCTCCAAAGGAGTTCCAATGGACTTGCAATCTCCCATGTTGAATCGTTTCAACACTTCTTCAATGTACTTGCTTTGGCTCAATGTGATGGTCTTTGATTCTCTACTTCTTACGAATTCCACACCCAAACAATAATGGAGCTCTCCCAAATCACTCATCTCAAATTCTCTCTTCAATTTCTTCTTCAACCAATCCAATCTTATCATGGTGTTGCTTAAGCTGATTAAATCATCTACATAGAGGATCACAACCAACAAGAAGTCCTTGGCTTGCAATACATACAAAGAATGGTTAGCTTCACTCCTTACAAAACCTTCCTTCACAAAGAATGAGTCAATGTGTTGGTACCATGCTCTTGGTGATTGCTTGAGTCCATACAATGACTTCTAATGTCCATACTATGGTTCTAATGGTGGTGAACTTGGCCACAGGTGCAAATGTCTCATTAAAGTCCACTCCAACAACTTGTAAGTAGCCTTTGGCAACCAATCTTGCCTTGTACCTCACAACATTGCCCATAGCATCTCTCTTGGTTCTAAACACCCACTTACATCCAATTGCTGATCGATTTGGTGGAAGTGGAGTCAACTCCTATGTCTCATTGTCCATAAGAGATTTGTATTCTTCTTGCATGATAATCTCCCACTTCATTGCATCACCACACCTCATTGCATCACACAAAGACAATGGATCATGAAGAAGAGCAACATTGGCATGGTCTTCACTTACTTGTAGAAAGATGTGGTTCTTCTACCATTTACCTTGTGGTCTTCTCTCACGTGTTGGATATCTTCTTTCATGCAAGGAGGATGAGCCTTCATGCACCTCTTGCTGCCTTGTATGGCTCATGGAGTTCTTTCTCTTACTCATTGGTTGGTATTCTTCATCTTCATTCTCTTCATTGTCTTTGTTGTATCTTGCTGGAATTGAAGTCTTCATAATATTGGGCTCTTCTATCATAGCATCTTTCTCTCTTTCTTCACTTTGAGAATGCGCTTCTTCATCTTCTTGTTTGTTTGCTAGAATTGAAGATGTGTCCACAAACACACCATTACTCCCACTTGGACACATCTCCCACTTTTCACTACCACTTTTATGCTCCAAGAATTCTACATCACGACTTTTGATGATCTTTTTGGTATCTAAACACATGAGCGTATATGCCTTGGTGCCTTCACAATAACCAAGGAATACACATCTTGTGTCCTTTGCATCAAGTTTGCCTCTCATACTATCTGGAACCTTGACATATGCAATGCACCCAAAAATCCTCATGTGGGATACGCAAGGTTTGTTACCAGTCCAAGCTTCTTGGGGAGTCATTCCTTCAAGTGCACTTGTGGGACACCTATTTCTTGTATACACGGCATTTACTACAACTTCCGCCCAATACTCATATCCAAGTTTTTGAGTATGAATCATACTCCTTGCCATCTCGACAATGGTGCGATTTGCTCTTTCAGCAACTCCATTTTGTTGTGGGGTGTAGGGAGTGGAGGTTTTTCTTGCAATGCCTTCATGCTTCAATAACTCATCAAAGTGTTTGGACAAATATTCACCTCCATTGTCCGATCACAGCACCTTAATCTTGTGCTCACATTGCTTCTCCACAAGTGCTTTCCACTCCTTAAACTTGGCAAAACACTCACTCTTGGCCTTGATGATGTAAATCCATACCTACCTTCAGAAGTCATCAATATATGTGACAAAGTACCTTGCTCCACTCATAGATGGTGTCCTCATGGGTCCACAAACATCCGAATGCACAAGCTCCAGCAATTGACTTGCTCTTGTTGTAACTCCACTAGGAAATGGTGTCCTATGTTGTTTGCCTTGAATGCATCCCTCACAAGCAAGATTCATGGTAGAATGGCTAAGGTCTAAGCCACTTACCATGGATTGAAGCTCCTTCATGCTTTTGGCATTCAAATGCCCAAGTCTTTGATGCCAAATGTCCACCTTATCTTCATTTGATGGAAATTCAGCAAAGGCAGCAACATCCACTCCATTGATCCTCTTACAATTGATAATATAGAGATTGCCATCCCTAGTCCTTTTTGCTACTTCTTTGCCTTCCATGGTTCTCACAAAACATCCATTCATGTTAAATTGCACTTTGCACCCATGAGTTACAAGTTTACTCACCGAAAGGAGGTTCTTCTTCATCTTTGGCACATGCAATACATCCTTGAGAGTGATTCTCTTGCTTATGTCCTTCACCACCACCTCCACTACAATGGTGCCTATTCCAATGGCTTGTACCATACCATTATTACCTAACCAAACCTTGGTTGCTGGAATTGGTTGATAAGTGTTAAATGAACACTTGTATGGAGTCATGTGTTTGGTACATCCGGAATCCACAATCCATTTGCTCATATCAAGCATGGAAGGAGTTTGTTTTGCCATGAATGCAAAGTCTTCACCTCCATGGTCATGAAAAGCATTGTTGGCATTCTCTCTTTTTCCTTTCTTTGCCTTAAAATAATTTCTAGCAAAATGGCATGGTTTTTCACAAATGTAACAAGTTTTAGGAAGATAACGTTGAAAAGGGGTATTTGCCTTACTTGGTCTTGTAAATAGTACTGATTGCTCTCCAATAGACTCCTTTTGCTTTCTTTTGGTGACTTCATGGGCTAGTCTTGCCTTGACAAAGTCCAAAGTGAGGTCTTTCTTTGAAATGGACTCCAATGCCACAATGAGGGAGGAATAGGAGTCCGGAAGGCTTGACTGCAATGTCATCACAACATCTTCTTCAAGTAAAGGCTTGTCAACAACAGCAAGTTGGTTTGCAAGTATTTTTACCTTATTCACATGAGCCATGAGATCTTCACCTTCTTCCATCTTCACGGTGAAGAATTTTTGCCTTGACCATAGCACATTGGAGAGATTCCTACTTTCATAGACATTTCAAAGAGTCTTCCATGCATCTGCTGCCCCTTTGCAAGAAATGACATGAACAAAGTTGCTTTCATCTAAATTAGTGGCAATTATGCCAAAAGCCTTCTTCTCTCGTCTTTTGAAGTCCTTTTGCTCCTTGATGCTTGCCTCTACCCCAGGTGCAAGTTCCTCCTCATCTACTATCTCCCAAAGATCCAATGATGCCAAAAGTAGCTCCATTTTGGCCTTCCAGTGGTGAAAGTTGTCACCTCTAAACTTTTCAACAACTCTTAAGCTATCACATTCAAAAGATGCCATCTCAAGCTACAAGTAGGTCCAAAAAACTCTTGATTTGGAGTTATAATGCAAAAGATATGACTACTTAAAGATTGCTGAACTACAAACCCAAAATTCGCTGTTTTGCAACTTTTTGCATATTTTGAGTCCAAATTACGTCTAAATGGTGGAGAATGGTTTGTAATGTGATTTTATGACTTTCAAACGTCTCTCTCACGTCACTTCACTCAAAATGACTCACTTTCTTATAAAACTCTCAAATACTGGTGCTCCTTCAGTAAAGACATTATCAAGGTCTTGCACTAAGCTCATACACTCACAAATCGAGGAGCAATGACTTCAACAATTCACTAGCAACACTCTACTATAAGATCTCAACCACCAAAAATAAGCAATAAAGAAATAATGCAAGAACAACTTACTTGGTAAGAGAATGTGGGCCCATAACCTATTGAAACATAGAAAGCATACTCCACACAAGTAAGTTAAGACCAGCAAGGTTGCACTTTAACAAATAGAGTGTGGTATGAGATAATTCTTCCCACGCCAACCCTTTCCTTATATACTAGTACCAAGGTACCAAGTGCTACAACCCATATGAGATATCTCCTAGGACCAGCCCTCCCCTTGTACTCTAATATACTATAGACCAGCACCTAACCTTATGGGATATCCCTAACAACACTTGTACTCTATTGACCATTAGCAACTACTTAAAGAGTTTTTTCCTTCAACAGAATCTGAAACAATTTAAATGAGTAACATTGTTACTATAAGTTAATATTTAGAGGAATTAAAATTTAGTATTACTTCAATACTTGGAAGCACAAAATGATATTGAAAGTTATTATGATAAAAATAGATTATTTCTACAAAAACATTGTATGCTTAGGATTAGATCTTTGTTTGCTATTTGATCAAAATACTCATTGATAATATAAAGAAACAAACTCCTACGTCATATTTAATCATGAAGTCATAATTTGTGGTAACTTGTCAATACTTTGCAGAAATAAAATGAATAAAAAAAATAAAAAAATAAAAATCTGACATACTTAACAGCAATAAATAAATAAATTTGCAAGCATTCTTATGTAGAGTAATCTAACAAAATGCATATAGTCACTTCTATTGTTTTGCTTATATTTTTACAATTTAAAGCTTAAAATACTATCATATATTGTGTGAAAATATAAATTATGACTTCAAGTACTACAATTGTTAAAGAAAAATCATATATATATATATATATATATATATATTAATATTTCATACATGCATTAAAAATAAGGATATTTTTTTGGAAATGAGAATCACAATGTTGAACTTTTATGCTATACATAAAAGAAATTCCTCCTCATGTTACAATACATAAAAGATATTTATTATGAATGAAAAAGTTCTTCCATTTTTACCATCATAGGAAAAAGTACAAAGACAGTTTTATGAATGTTAGGATATTTCTGTTGTTGTTGTTGTTGTTTTCTTTTTCTTAGATATGTAACTTGTTTGGATTATGTTGAATAGAAATTGAAAGATATGTGTTTTTATCCCTTGATGGAAACCATGCTTCTAGAGTTGTTTCTTTTAACTGTGAAATTATCTAAAGAATTTAAATACTTGTCCAACCTAATGCTATTATGCAATTCAACCAAGCTATCAATTTCTAGTAAGTACATTACAAGAGAATCAAATTCCATAGTGACCCAAAATGTTTTTCAAATGCAAAATAAAGTACTGAAATTTATGTAGGTAGATCTAATTATACATAGGCAATTTCTGAATTGTTATTGGAATTTTTCTTGTCATGTGCAATGTTGTCAAAGCATCAAGATTGTGGAGTGGGTGCCACTTGTTGACACACTGAACATTATCATGTTAGAACCTTTCATTTTATTTTTGATTTGTATATAAGTGTTGACATGTTTATTTAAATAAATTGTTCGGGGCCACAACTGGGATCAGTTCCCCTTCCTAAGGGAGCTGTTGTGTGTAGGGCCCCTGCAGAAAAGGAGGACCAGATGGGATAATTAGATAGCAAGAAAGAAAGGGAAGGAAGGAAAGGAAGGGAAGGAAAGGAAGGGAAGGGAAGGAAAGGAAGGGAAGGGAAGGGAAGGAAAGGGAAGGAAAGGGAAGGGTGGAGAGGGAGAGAGATTCTGGTTGTGGAATGTTGCAAGACAGTGTGTGTTCCTTTTTCTGTCACTTCTGTTAGTTTTGTTTTTGTTTTCTTCAATGATGTAGTCAGCGAGGTAATGATTTATATTTGTTTGTTTGTATGTTCAAGTGGGGACACAGAATGGGGATGCGGAGAATGGAAGCCTACAACCACAGGGAAGGAAGCACAGTGGAGCCTGGGAGGCAGCAAGCATGCATGCTTTCAGGGCTTTGTTATGTGAACAGGGGATCATGCAGAGATGTGACTCCGAAGCCAGCAGCTTCCATGGCAGGATGCAGCAGGAGCAGGAGGAGGAGCAGCAGGGGAGTAGAAGAAGAAAGAGTGCTTGGGTGGTAGTAACATTCACCTAGGGAGGAAGAAGAGGAAGAGGGGGGGGGGTCGTACCAGGGCGTAAGTCAGTCCGTCCGGGGCAGAGGGAATTTCGAAGAGCCTTCCTTCCTTCGCAGGTGCATACTCAAAGAAGGTGGTGGGAAGGGACGTGGGAGGGGGGGGGGACACGACGGGCACTCTCCGGAGGACGAGGACGAAGACGAGGTGGACCATGACGAGGACGAATAGGAGCGCCGGCAATAATAATAATAATAACAATATATAATAATAACAATAATAATAATATAGGCACCCTCCTCTCCTTTTGGGATCTTGAAGGAAGGAAGGAAGGAAGAAGGAGAGTGAGAGGGAGAAGGTGGTGGGAAGGGACGTGGGGTGTGGCCTCTCTCCGTCTCTCTCGGGAGCTCTGTCTCTGTACCTATATATATATTTACACACATATGTCTCTCTCCCTCTCTCTCTCTCTCGGGAGTTCTGTCTCTGTATCTATATATATATATATATATATACACATATCTCTCTCCCCCTCTATCTCTATATAAATTTATATACTTTATTATGTTTGTATATTTTCACACACTCACACACACATAATTACATATCTCCCTCATTCTCCCCCTCACCCTCCCCTTCTTTCTCTCTCGGGCTCTCTCCCTCTCTGGCTCTCGCTCGCTCTCTCTCTGCCTGCCTGCCTGCCTGCCTGGGTGTGCCTCTCTCTCCATGCCTTAGTAAATCCGTTTTCATGGCGCTTCGCTGCGTTCATTCATCGTTTCTGTTGTTGGGTACGCTCCGAATTACAATCTTTTCTAGACTGCTGCACGAGCGATAGCAAGATAGACTCATGAAACGAGCCAGACTCTTCTGAGTTTTAGGTTCATGAGTTAGGGCAGCCTGGATTCTTGGGAGAGTTTATTTTGGGCTGGGGTCCGCGGTTTTCTTGGATTGTTCTTCAGATGTGCTTGGAATAAGTCTAGAATTCCTTGGTTTCTTTCATCATCGGAGATGAATTGGGTGGCGTAAGTTTAGTTTGATGTAGAATTTTAGTCTACAATGTGTTTGCGAACTTGTGTGATCATCGTGCACGTAATGTTGTGAGGAGAGTGGTTGTTAGGTGGTGGGATATATGCTACTTTGGAGGTAGGTGCAAGTTGATCTCGACGTTCTGTAGTTGGACACCTAGTGTTCGGGTCTTTGCAGGGCTTTCCATCACGACAGTAGCTTGAAATCAGCGAGGAATTGTTTGGTTCTTGGCTATCTGGACTAGTTGATATCCTCAAGAAACTGGAGTCGAGCACCATTCGCTTCTCATTGGCATTGAAAACGACGTGGTGGGTTTCTGGCGTAGCTGCTGTTTTGTTTGATTTCTTTGTCGTCCACTACGACTCAAGATGAGCTGTTTTTTTCTGTGAATCTTGTATCGCTGATGATGTCATTTGGTACCATGCTGTATTGGGAGAATAAAATTGATCAAACTAATTTCCATTAGATTTGGCCATTTTCTCCTCTTATTTTCGCGTCCTGATTCGACATCTGTTTACAGATAGTAGAAAAACGATGCATAGTGATGACGTTGTTATCATGAGAGTATTTCTGAAGTAAATAGGTATATGAGTATCCTAGGGACGATGGAGCAGAAGATATGAAGTCGAGGGCGGTTGGTCGTCTAGTTAAGTCGCTAAGTTTCTGTAGTATCACTTTATGCTTAAATCCTTAAATTCCGTGTAGACGTACTGCGAGAATTATTTCTGCAGCCAATACTAATGTCGTATCTATCAACCGTAGTATTCAAAACTTCTAACACTGTCCTAACATGACTGTTCAGATTACACGAATTGAGCTAGAGATTCCTCGACAACAATGATTGAATCATCTCAAAACGGTCTGGGCACTACGAGTTTGCTGCTTTCTTATGCCAGTAGGGGAGATGTGACGGCAATTAAGGAGCTTTTAGACGATGGTGCTGTCGTGAACGCTTCAGACTATGACGGGAGAACAGCTCTTCATCTGGCCGCAAGTGAGGGTCATGTACCGGTGGTGGAGTTGCTTCTCCAGCGTGGGGCTGATGTCAACCCTGTAGATCGCTGGGGTGATACTGTGAGTTCCTCCGAGTCTTCTTCCGTTCTTTCGAAATGACAGGGACCCGTAAGAGTGTAAATGCTACTCAATAACCAATATTAGTTGCGACTCTTGTCATGCTGCTTGTAGTTTTAATAAAGTAGTCTCGATCACATGACGAGCATTAATCGTAGTGTATAGAATATTTGTAACAGAATTCTTCTCTTCAATGCAGCCTCTGGCAGATGCTCGGAAATATACGAAAGGTGTTGTGGTTAAGCTGCTTGAGCAACATGGCGGAAGGATCGAGGCAAGACTTCTGCGCCCTTACCTCTCCATCTATTTTGTAGATTGAATCGCTTCAACATTCAGAGAATTTTGTAGTAATTTACTGCGAATAATTTCAGAAGGAGCGGAAGAGTTTCGTTTCTTCTTATTAATAGCTTAGTAGTGGGATTGTATCGATCATTTTGGGAATTTCATCTAGACATATCTTTCAGTCGAACTCTACTTCAACTGCACTGGTTATTACAGGTCCTCCGTGTTTTCCATTTAATTACAATGGATAACAATAATCGTAGCAATGGTATGATCTCAAACAGGATAAGAAGAAGCAAGGATTTTCATATGATGATATATCGGCTCAATATGAAATCGACCGTTCTGAGTTGGAGCCAATGGACCATATACCTCCACTTTGCCAGGTAAAAATGGAACACTGTCCACTGATTTCGAGGTTCTGTATACTCCCTTCTAAGATTTAGGAAAATACGAAATACCACTTGTTGGACACTATCAAAGGGATTAGAGGTGCATTTCTGACATCTCTAATCTTTCCATCTTTGTTGAACTTCAAGCATTAGATTCCTGCAGCAAGACCCTTCTTATAATGCCGTATTTTCTTCATACATCACTTTATTTTGTTCCCCGCCTAATGATGCATGTTTTCGCCAGAGGTGGCATAGACGATTGAGAAGCTTGTTTTGATGTGCAATATTTCATGTATCTAATAAGATTTCGCTTGTTTTTTAGACACCCAATGAAGAATTCCGTGTAGTTAACTGGCGCGGCACAAAAGTGGTTGCAAGGATGTTGTTGTCGCCTTTAACGAAAGATCCTGAATTTCTGTGAGTAAAAGTTAGCCGTTTTTTTTGTGATAAAAGCACATTCTGCATGCTTTAGCCTTACTTTGAGCCGTGTACCTCTCCCTTGTTTACAAGTTATATAATTCAGGTGTAATTTTGGTAAATAATCGTCACTTTATTGGTTGGAATTTTGTGTTGGTACTACTTGGCAGCACCAAGCTCAAAGTAGAGCTTCTGATGCTGGAACGATTGCGCCACCCAAATATTTTGCAGTTTCTAGGTGCTGTTACAAAAACATGGCCCCCGGTAGTTGTAACCGAGTACCTACCGCGGGTTAGTCTTACTTATCCCACCCTTGCTGATGAATATACTTTTATCTCTGTATGAATATCTCGGACGAATCTCGTGGGTACTGTGTGTTTGTAGTATCACACTTGTCAAAGGACTGTTCACGCTGTCAAGTACTTTATTCAATTGTTCATTTCAGTCTTTTGTTAATACATCGATTATTGTATGTGTTGTTTTTCAGTAGTCTATTGGGCTTCACTAACTTAAGCAGAAGTATCTCACTTTTGGATGGTGTGTGCAGGGTGATTTGTATTCACTTATGTCCAACTCCCGACTGTCTCCAAAGCTAGCACAAGGGTTTGCTCTTGATATCGCTAGGCATGTCGGTCTTTCACTGGTTGTTAATAAAGATATTTGTAAATGGAGTTATTGTGGGTTATAATTGAGTTTTAGATTGGGGATGTTTTGACATGTTCAGTCTACTTAATTGCAGAGGCATCAACTACCTACATGAACACAAAGACTCCATTATACACGGAAATCTGAGACCTAGGTGAGTATTTTTCTTCAATTCAATTATTTTAATGTTAAGTATGCAAGTGCGTGGGGTGGAAGTGATACATTTGCAAAATCACTTATTCTCATGTGGGCTCAGGAATCTGCTGCAGAATGAAGCAGGCCAATTGAAAGTGTCAGACTTTGGACTGCTAGGAAGCAGATCGTATGCAAATGGATCTGAAGGTGGATGTTGTAAGTTTCGTTTTATTGGTTTCACTTCTTGGTATTCTAACTTCTTTGTTCTCTCTGGAGTAACTATTTCCGTTCATGCTTTAGGGAGAGATTTAGTGCCTTCAAGTTATTTTGACTGGTGCCAGGGAGCTTTTCAATAATCAGAATTTTGCCCTTAACTCCGCTGTTTCGTGTGCAGATGAATACATGGCCCCAGAAGTTTATCGGAATGAACCATTTGACAAGAGTATAGATACGTTCGCCTTCAGTCTAATAATATACGAGGTGTTTTGCTTCTCTAAAGCCTGCTCAATCCATTTAATTTTTGTAGCATTCGTAATCCTTGTTTAATATTATTTGTTGTCTTATCAAAACACTGTTTACATAACAATTGTGGTGAGGATTGACTTGATGGCGTTCACATTCTGCAATGAAGTTTCTGCTTGTACTCGAAACATGTATTCATAAATCCTGGTTTAGATGTACGAGGGTTTACAAAATATGGACGGCAACCCAGAAGCGGTCGCAAGGAGACGAGCTATTGATCATGAGCGTCCAAGTTTCAGGGCAACATCTTATCCCACTGGCATGCGAGAGTAAGTGTTTCTTTACCCTCATGTCTGATGTTTGATCATGTTGGAGAAAAACTTGTTCATGAGGATTAGTATAAATCTTCTTTGCTCACTACGCTTAATGCACCAGCCCTAATAAACTAATTTAGTTGTTTTTGGGGGTTTGTGATGTAGGCTAATTGCAGCATGCTGGCACAAAGAGCCCGCCAAGCGTCCACCATTTTCTGAAGTAATAAGACAGCTCGAAGATATGAAGTCCAGTCACAGCAGTGCCAAAATAGTGCAAAAATGTCAATGTGTTATTCTCTAGATTGAAAATGTAACATGGTCATTTCTGTCAGCTCAGAACTTCATAATAAATCTAGCTCATTCTTTTGTGGTTTAATACACATGGTTCATTTCAATAATAATCACTACGAAAAGCTGGGTAAAGTATATTTTAGAAATCAGAAGTGTACTCCTGTTTGATATTGGCTCTAAAACAAACCAGCATGTGTTCCCACAACATGCGGAATTTATCTGGGTGCACAGTGGGACCTTTGATTTGGTTTTATTTCAAAGTCTGATGTGCTTCATTTGAAATTGAGTGAATCCACCCTCGAATGCTTTTTGGAAATAATTGTATGTTAAAAGTTTCCAAATTACAACGTGCTTATTGAAATTGATAGCTTACCACTTGCCTAACCCGTCACATAATTTGTGCCATCTTGCTATTTTACTAAATCTAATAAATAAAGCTTTGGTGGTTATACTCAGTGTGGATTTGCCTGTGAAAAACGTTTAGAGAATGTTACAGATAAAATGATTATGACGAGCAAATTAATCGAGGAATGATTTTTTTAATGAAAGGAGCTCAAATTCAGTTAATTTCAAAGAAAAATCGAAGTTTTAAATTGGGAGGGTTAATTGTGGAGGCCTCACATTGGTTAGTTTTTATACATAATTTTAGAAAAAGAATGGTTTGTGAATAGGTGGGATTAATAATAATTTAATTCATGAAAAAATTATAATGTTTAAGTACAACCTTCATTTCTAAGTTTGAAAGTACTAGCAAGAAACAAGCAATGAAACTGAAAAGTTTGACAATCAATTTACAGAATTGGATTTAAATTGAAATAGCAACTATTGTTCATCAGTGCCTACCTGTTGTTCTTTTTCGTGGTAAAAATATAAATGGCATCTAATATTTATTGATACTTTTATTTTGATACTATAAATAAACATGAGTTGAGTTGCATTCCAGGTTTTGATGCCACAGAGGGCAAGAGATAGCACACAAGAAGACTGCCATCAGCTTGGGTGGAGATGTTTCTAGATGAATACTTCCTGTGGTACCTAAATCCTAGTGGACCCATAGAATTTTTAGGCTAGACAATGCTACAGATAGAACTTTCAATAGTAATTACTGCTTTTGCACCTTATCTTTAATGTTTAACAGTAGGTTAAAAGAGAATCCTGCCAGAGGCTGGGGCATGGACATGGACATAGTGTTACATCTGACTTGTTGCTTGGAACATGGGAATCAGTCTTCTTGTGTACTATTCATCGATGGCTGTTTACGAATACTGTTAATGAAGTTTTCATTATAATGAAAGCATTATCATGAATGCTTAAGTTCATCAACTACTCAACAAGGCATTAGGATCCAAATTCACCATCCTGTCAAATTCAACACTACTGCAGTACATTCATACCAAGAATTCTCTGATTCCACTGACCCTACAAAGAAATTCATAGCAGTTTACAATAAACCAAAGATTTTCATTAAAACCCAACTTGGGAAATCGACGAGGCATAAAAGAACTGTGTGTGCCATGCTCGCTATTGCTACACCAGACCCTGCTTTTTGTTTTGGGCTTACTCATTCTGCTTCAATATCTACATTTAATCTCCTTTCTTCCTAAAAGAACAACCCTCAGTCAAGCGAGCTCTTCCACCAGTGGGCTGGCAAAGGACTGTAGAGCAGCTGCTGCACAACACTACGGTCTGGGAGTGACTAAACACGGTGGTTCTGCGCATTCACACGTATCGGTTATCCTTTTGTTGAAAAAAATCCTGATGTTTTCGTTATCCAATCACATAAACCAACAGCATAGACGATAATAGATTTCAAGTATCAGTACATTTGTTCTATCATCTCACACAGACTAGAAAACGGCAGACACCAGATCGGCCAAGACGTCTTACATACTGAAGCATCCCTGGCACTTCACATCCTGGGTCGTAAGCAAAAAGAAAAAAGACAAAAAAAGATTAGAGCCTGATTACCTGCTAATACAATTACCGATCCAAATACGGCCAGAAAACCCTAAAATCAATGCCCTAGATAAGAGAAAAGCTTCTCATATGAGTTAACATGAACGAAATAACTGCTACTCAAAGATCGACAGAACACTAAAGCTGCATGTTCGACAAAATTGCGAAGTTTAGATAAGACAACTGGTTAGTAAAATGGAATCTGATGGAACCAAATGGCCTGACGAGTGCAAATTCAAGGCAAAAGAATGGAATGTTACCATGAAAAAGGAATTAGGGGACTGCACAAGCCTCTTCAGCTTGTGCTTCCTCTTTTCAAGTTCCGCCGGAGGTTGCAACAAGTCGATGTCATTGGAAAGCACCTGTAAGCCATAAAAGGACGTCAATATGTCACAGAAAACGCATAGTTACTGCAATTAAAACTGTTATCATATCGATTTTGACTATGATACGCCAACAGCCAAACCCTAAAGTGGTTAAAGGAGTCCATGACGTTGAAAATGTTGGAGGTTGTCAAAAAGGTAAAATCATGAGACTTTATTGATTTCCCTGAAAATTTCAGCATGGTCAGAGCCATCTGTGATCATCCGAGCCGATTTCCCGGTGCCTTAGACCACGAGCACGTTCTACAGAACTTCCTCATCAACTAAAATCCAAAGTTCCAAAACCTCACCAAACTGACTGGCACCCATCATCAAATCGCACAAACATGTAAAGCAAGACCAGGAACAGCAACAAGAAGGAAACCGCAAGAGAGACCTACCATGGTGACGGACAGAACAGAGCAGAGCAGAGCAGAGGGGGCAGATGGGGGGAGTGATGGAGATGCGGTGCAAGCCTTTCTTTCAGGGTCAGCAGAGCCAGCGATTCGGCGCAGGAAGGATCAACGATGCCCTGAGGCGTGGGTTTTAAACCCTAATGGCTCACACAGACTGAGAGAGAGCGCGAGAGAGAGAGGGAGAGAGAGAGAGAGAGAGAGAGAGAGAGAGAGAGACGGACAGAGTTGGAGTTTCGCCGTGCTTCCATGTGAGCTGATTCATTCATTCATCCGTCCATTTATTCAACCATTCGTGCCTCGTCGGACAAGCTTTCGTCTCCTCCAAAGCATGTCTTCGTTGTTTGTGGGACTTTGGCAAACGCAAGAATCTATATTTATAATGATAATAATAATAATTATTCTCTTAAATTAAAGTAACTACACATTCATTACATGGACGGATGAATGAATGTAATCATTTTTAAAGTAAGACAAAGTATACATTTTCCAGTAACCATTTTTAATATACGCATCCACCGACTCATGCTGAAGTATTCCTCAAAATACCATAGCATATTAAATATATATTATTGTTAATATACCATAGCATATTAAATATATATTATTTTTAATCCAGTTATACATCAAAAAATAAATCAGTACCAAAATCAATATTTAATTTTATTGATTTTTGTTGAAACTTTGAAATTTAACCAAGCTAATTATATTCATAATGATTGAATATAATTAGCTTTTTGATTACAAAACTATAACTCATTTAAATATATTTTTTGTGACTTCACCAATTTACTTATTTTTTCTAAAAACAATATAAAATTTTAAAATATGAATCATATTTAAGATATAATTATTTATAAAATATTGAAACTTTAGTAAACTCTGCTTAAATAAAACATTTGAAAAAACATTATTTTAGTTTACCTAGGTAACATTTTTAAAGGATTTCATATGTTACTTTAGATATCAACTAATTTTAAATTTAATTCTTTTCATTCTCTATTGCATAAAGATAAAAATATTATGCTAATATTTGAAATAGTTATTATTTAGTCAAATCAGAATTTTGTACAGTATGAGTTTTACTTTTATGGTTAGTGCATCAAATAATAATTAAAAGTAATAATAGTAATAAAGTTTAAATACATAATTCCAACATGTTAAAAACATAAATTATAAACTCTATAACTTTTTATGTTAAAATTAATATTGTATGATTTGTTATTATTTTAATTTTTTTACATTGTCTTTTTATGTAAGATCCAATACTTAAATAAATAAATAAATATATATATATATATATCAAACTTTGATATATATATTTTATTTATATAAATAATTTTATGCTGAAATTTAATATCTTGTTTTTGCAAGAGTTATAGTTTTGTAATCAAAAACATTCTTTGTAGATATGTGTGTATGTGTATATATATATATATATATATATATTTAATGCTCTCCCTCAATAATTTATAGGAACCAACCCTGTTATATGGTGCATGATTAATAACATATGATTTCTAATAATTAAATGATTTTTATTGACTTTCATTAATTACCAAAGATAAATACTTACTTGTATGTAATTTGGCAAGGCAAGGCCTAAAGATTAAAAATGCCATGTTGCCGCAAAGTTGGAATCAAGCATCTTAGATTGCAAGGCCCTAATAAGGTTGATTTTTATCTTGCCTTAAATGCACCATCTTTGATAATTAATATTTTTTCTTGCAACATATGATATTAATTAATAAAGAGAACTTTGTATAAATATGTAGAGATGTACTCCAACTATTTGATACTAATTAACTGATATTCTTTACTTACTTGATAATAATTGTTAGAGTGTAGGTCCTTTCTAGATCGTAAACTTGTATACCATAACTAATATTCCTCATATAAGTTATAAAACTTCCATTCACAAAGATTATAAATTAAGTAGGCTAAATTTGTATATTCAATTATCTCCTATCTAATAAAATAAAACATTTTTAAATTTAAGAGAGAAATAATTATACACAACTATTATAATTTGATTAAATTTCATAGTATTACTTGTATAAAAAAAGAATATCCTATGACTATAAATTATTTTTTAAAATATTTTTAAAATTATAAAGTATTAAGTCATTAAAAAAATCATATTAAATTATGTAGATGTCAATGATATGTTTTTTAAAAAATACACCTGATGCTCATATATAAGTTGAATATATATCCACTAAGTTTCTATATAATAGAAGGATTTTATATAAACATTCAAAAAAGTGAATGAAAAATTATAATTGAATGTAAAATATATGAATATGAGGTGTGTTTTCTATTAGATCTATAATTTTTTTTGAATTATTTAAAACTTATTACAGAAATTATACTAATGAGATACTTTAAAATATTTATATTAAGTAAAAAACAATTAACTGAGTTTTCAAATGGCACCTTTTATTTTTTAGAAATACTCAAAAATTTAAGTAGCAAAAAAACATTATTGAGTATTTCTAAAAAATAAAAGGTACCATTTGAAAAAATAAAATGTAAAATTTTTTAATAGATTTTATATAATTTCTGTCTTTCATATAAGTAGGTCACCTTTGAACATTTAATGAAAGAGATAATATTTTTTTGTAAAATTTGTTTTGTAATGTAATTAATATGTTAGTTTATATTAATCAAAAAATATATATGAATATGTTATATCAAATATATATTAATATTTTATATCAAATATATATTAATATGTATAATTATTTGTAGTTGTATTTTGATGAAGAAAAATTAATTTTCTAATATTTTAGAGTGTAAGTCAATCTAAAAAGATAAATAGCTAAAACGACACAAAAATTTATAAGTCTTATTCTTTAAAGAAGAATAAAAATCATTTAAATAATTAAAATTGACAACCTACACTTGCATGTTTTATTGTTTAAGCAAAGTGCTTGGCAATAAGCCAACTTGAGATGAAGTATATTGGATAAAACATTTTATGAAAGAATAGTTGTAAAATTTGGTGTAACATTGATTACATGCACTTACTAAGGATACATTAATCTTAAAAAAAATTAAAAATATTGTTTTTATATAGAATATAATAATATATAACATTACTTTGTTTAAGAATAAATTAAAGATAATATATTGTCCATAATGTGTTGTGTGAAAAAAGACATGATTGTGGATGTGTACAAAAATACTTGCAAAAAAAGGATACTATGTATTGATAATGATTTTGGAGCTAAAAGTTTTATTTACTTACAAAATGTAGTGTTGAGATTTAAGCTTGTATTTTTTTTAACCTTAGAAATTTTCTAAAACCTTCAACAAGTTCACTAGCTTAGGTTACTAAGATTTCAGTAGCTAAAATAAGTGAATGCTAAAGTTATGTAGGAATCAGATTTAATAGATATTATGATTATACTTACAAATAATGTAAAAAATAAAAATTTGCTTAATGTATTTACATTTAGATATAATTAATTAAAATAATTATTTAATATAAATAAAGTTCAACAATAAAATTTATATCTTTTAATCTAAATAACTTTAGCACAAAATTAATTATATTGTGTTTGAATTTTAATATTTTTATTTTTATTATAAGTACAATACAAGGACTTTCTAACAAATATGTTTGCAACACCAATTGTATATGCCATCAACAACTTATACTGTTTTTAGCAATATAATATGTATTGAAAAAAAATTATAATCTAAAATCTTAAAAGATATTTTTAATTGTTATATACACAAAACATCAAAAGATAAATTAGAACCATATTTACAACTATTAAGTAGTAAATGTAATCAATTGATTTATTTAATATCTTAAATAAATAATAAATAAAGTATTAAAAAGTAAAAGTGCATTAAAATTACAAAACAATATTATTTCTTACAAACATTGAGTTTTTGAAATACCATAATATTCTAAAATGCTTTTGAATAGAATCAAAAAATATTTTTTAGCATCTGAACAATAAAAAAAAATTACAAATACATATACTATAATTTTAAATAGATTTAAAACTATAACAGAGATATACTAGAGGTTATTTTTGGAAAAATCATAATATTTCCATACTTTTTTAGTTATTTAATTATTTTTTTGAGGTATATTATAAATATATATATACATATATATATTATGTCTTTACTATCCAACAAAATGGGGGTTTTGAAATCAGCAGGTAAACCTTTCGGGGAAAACACCAAAAGAGTAGTGGAAATAATTATTATACATCTTATGATTAGACGCAAAACAGGAGTTTGTAGGTTTAGGCACTCTCTACCTTAACCCAAACCATCCATTAAATTCACCCAAGGTGAGATAATCAAACTCGTGATAACAGTTAACTTTCGATCGTCCTGTCTACAATGGATCACTGTGCGTCCCACTCATATTTTTACAACTTTGAGTTGATATTATCTTTGAATCTTTCGCGTAAGAAGGCAGCACATCATTGCAATCCATCACAACGAGCTACTGAAGTGTTCATCTTATGGTTTTACACATAGAACAGTAATTCTTTTCAACGAACGCCAGGTTCGTAAGTGCAAGTAAACAGCCAACCAGTCGTGAATCGTGATCCATTTCATAGTGATGACCATTGCAAGGAAGCCATGTTACCTAGTCGAAGAAATTGGTCACCTCTATAAGAATGAAAATAATCTCAAACAATACTAAGCGGACTTGCGCCTAGGAGGTTTTCCTATATGAATGTAGAAATACACTAAGCTTGACAGAAACAATGGGAAGGAGGGGTCGTAGAAGGGCGATACAATTCCAAATACTTAGGGAATTCTACTATGTGCTTGAAGACCAACTCTCTCCTTATGGTACGAAAAAGTAGTGCATCGTCCGATGTTGCCCAGTGGACCTAAATTAAATGGTCGTGTACACGTGCTGTGCCAACTTTGTCAACCACTGCCAGAAAGTCCATACAATTCTTAGAAACAGTCTGCATGAAAAACAAAAAGCTCTTAATTGATCACAAGAAAAGGAATCGAGCATGAAGAAATTGACGAAGTACCTTTAACTTGAATGCATTCTTAACGATTTCCTTCATCGTGTAGGTACTGCTCAAAGAAATGTTGGCGTGAGTTCTTGCCATAAAAATCATGTTGGCCATCTGTGCATGTAAAAGTATAAGCAAATCAAGCAAACCGAACCGCATCCGCTTCGTATTGTTGAAGACATTTGTTTTCAGCCTCTTCTTAGCTGATACTGTTAAATGCAGAGAAGAAGCCGTTGAAGGTCAACCCAGCGATGTAAATTCCATGAGAACTCATGAAGTGAATTCAGCGGGTGTGTAACCTACGCTCAGGCCGTATCAGGATTAGCAGAGTCAGAGAGCAGGATTGCGTCTTTTCCTCAGGCCATCAAGAGCCAACTTAGGAATCATACGTATTTTCAGAGACAGAATTGGCATGGGGAGAATTTACAGCGCTATTACTGTAACCAACAGTTCGAAGAATTATCTGAACCATATACTCTTGATCGATGGGCTTGGTAAGAAATGCATCCATTCCTGCATTCAAGCACTTTCGTTCATCACTAGCCATGGCATTTGCTGTCAGAGCCACAATTGCAGTTCTGCATGGATACTTCTTCTCAAATTCTCGGACTGCCTTGCAGGATTCATAGCCATCCATCACAGGCATCTGCAAGAGGAGTACCATTGTCAGTGTCACGTTCTTTGAAAACGAGGAAAACAACTCAATCGGATCATAAACTAAATTTGTCAAAAAAGTAAGCATCTACCAACTTGAAGCTGGGATCTATTTCTGCTAAGTGATCACCTCATATAGCTCGCCCAGGCAAACAAAAATACGAAGTTTCTAAACAATAAACAAAGAGCCAAGGTTACTTCACTGGATGACTGCTGACACTAACATGTCAAAAAAATCGATCAATCTGGCATTCTTGTAAAGAAATAATGACAACAAGAACCAACCTGGCAATCCATTAAAATACATTGAAAAGGTGCTTGGCCATTCAACATACGTGCCATTACAGCTTCCAACACTTCCTGTCCATTTGAAGCCTCAAAGGTTACGGCACCCAGCCTTTTCAACATAGCAACCGCCAATTTTCGAAGGAGCGGAGTATCTTCAGCCACTAAAATCTCAAGCATTTCCAAAGGCTTAGGAGCACTAGCATTGCCATTCTTTCTGCCGTTGAGCTGGGCAAGGGCTGCAACACTTCTTTTCATGGGCTTACAAGTTGGGGTTGAATCCTGACTAAACGAATCGGATGATATGCTTTCCATCTCTGAGTACGAGATTTCCTCAAGTGGAGCTGACTTTGTAGCGGTGGGCCGGTGCCGCACGTTCCTTCCTAGCACAACTGCAGAAGGGATTGGACGAGGAGAAGGTTCTTGAGCTAGTGGCACCTCGGCATCACATGCATAAGGATCGTTCCACTCTTGCTGCTTTGCATAATTGATTATGCTTGAGGCATGAAGCTCCTGTGGGCGTTGGATTTCCATGGAGGGCATGACATCTCCCTCCCGAGAGACTAGATAAAATATCTCTTTTAGACGAGCTGTATGCAGGGGCCTTTTCACTATGAATGAGCTCCGAACTGCACGAAGAGCAGCTTTAATAGGCTCATGAACATTGGACGCACAAACCCACACCACTGAAAAGTCCCCTTGCAGTTCTCTCCTATGTCTGTCATTAATGTCGAACGTACTTGCCACCCCTAACCCATCCAGATACCTCGAAGGTGAGGTAGTGAGAAACCCTGATTCCTGAAGGTACTCCTCCAAGTGCTCTGCTTTCACATCTCTAGGTAAAAGGCTTGTGTCAAGTATCATAAGCTGCCTTACTTGTCCAGTGATCGGCCGTTCGTCACCATCTTTCCAACTTCTCCAAAAGTCGAACCTTTGTGACCATGACGATGGTCTAGATGGGGCGCTGGTGGGTTGCTGATGATCATCTGCTGAGGAATTTGATAAAAAGTCCTCAAAAAGCCCAGTTCTACCTCCTTCCCCACTAGAAATTCCATTAAGTGCTCTCATGTATAATAGTATTTGTTCCCACGATTCAACTTGGTGAACACTTAAACCAAGTTTGGTGATCCACTCGCATGCAACTGCTCTGCAATCGGGGTCAGGAATGCCAACAATAATCTCGGTACCCTGGTATGGAGGGGGTAAGCTAAAAGGAGTACAGTCGCATGATGTTGCCCGCTGGAAGCAGATAGAAAATTGGAAAACGACTCCAGGACCACTTTTCTCAACAATCCTTATGCTTCCACCCATGAGTTGAACAAGAGAGCGCACAATGCCTAGCCCCAGGCCTGTCCCACCATGCCTGCACACAATGTGAAACAAACATTTATCATCCTCTAGATCGCACCTGTAAGTAAAAGATAATATTAGATACATCTGAAAACGGTTTCACTTAGAAATCCACGCTGCAAACAAGCAATGCAAGATCAGAGGCTGCTTGACGATGTACCGGATAGCAGAATGAATGTGATCTAAAGGATTTAATGAACAAGCAAAAAAATTGATGTAAAATTAAAAAGATAAACAAGCTACAGTGACTATCATACGTGCGAGTTGTACTGGCATTCCCTTGCACGAAGTTCTCGAAAATCTTTTCTCGCAAAGCTGCAAAAACATACACCAATATCATCAACAACGTGAACTTCGAAGATACAGATATACCCTTTAATCAATCACGAACATTTGTCAGCAAAGTTTTAAGTCCAAAATCTCTTCACGAATCTTCATACGATCTGAAAGGAGGGTGCCTCCAAAATTTACACAAGCTTAGGAGAGAAGATCTCAGACATGCACTTGCTGTCTCACAATTATATAAAAAGCACACTAACCTGGCTCAATCCCTGGACCGGTATCGTCCACCTCAAAGACTAAGACCACTAAGTCGGGTGCATTGGATGCCTCATTAAACCTTTCGAGCGAAAATGGGCTAAAACTTCGTTGATGCAACTTCCCTGAAACATCAGCTTCTGGGTTGGCGATTCGAACTCGCACCATTATACGACCCTTCGAAGTGAATTTAAGGCTATTTCCCACAAGATTTGTGAACACTTGCATAACTCGTGCCGAATCGCCAATCACTCTCTTTGGTACATCATCTGCGCATCACATATCAATTCAAGGATGCAGCTTCTCAATACACAGTACATTTGTGTAATGCTTAGCTATTCAAAGCGCTCTATCCTACTAGGACCCTGATCAGGATTCCGGACAGATGAAGGAAAGTGAAAGCACAGGAAAGAGGTGACAGCAAAATATAAGTGTAAGTCCTCCAAAAATCATTGACCTTACAAATATCAAAAACAAACCTGCCACATCAAGAGAGATAAACAGATTCTTGTTGTCGCACTGCACAGAAAAGACATCGATGAGTGCAGTAAGCTCTGCTTCTAAATTAAATTCTGCTTTCTCCAGCACCAACTTTCCTGATTCGACCTGTTTAAAAACACAAGTATCATTCGCACTTCAGCAAACCTCTTCAATGATTCTCCAAACCTTTTCCGGTTTCCGACTCTCTAATTTAAGCCTCCACACTTCTGTACAAATCACTAAGTGACAAAACATTCGAACTAGAAAGACACAATTGAAAAACGAGGGTCAAACTGGAGGTTGAATTAAAGAAATTGAGGATCATACCTTAGCAATATCCAGAGCAGAATTGAGAAGTGAAACTAGAGATGTAGCACATCGGTGAATTTGTCGAATACTTCCCTCATGTTCCACGGTAAGGTTCTCCATCAAAAGCATGTCTAAGAGACCTATAATGCATGCCATCGGCGTTCTTAACTCATGGCTGTCCATAAGAACCAAAATAGTACTGTCAGAAAATGGTATTCCTTTCAAAGAAAAGTGAGCACGTGTAGAACTCCGAGACTCTCACCAAATTGCTGACCATTGCGATTAATATCATCGTTCATTAGCTGGATAAAGAAAGAATATTTTTCCAGTTTCCTTGCTTCCGAGTTCCCTCATGACTGATTACTGATTGTCTTTAAATACACAAGATTGACTATGCATACCCAGGTCACACACAGACCTGTGTTAAGTAATGTTAGCATCAATTTGCATTGAAAATTTCACATAATTACTAACCTCATACTAGAGAGAAAATTTGTCTTTGCATCTCTACTAGCTTCTGCACGGTGCTTGGCCTCGGATTGTCTCAGAATCTCCGCTCTCAATTTCTCTTCCGCTTGTACTTGCTCAACCAGGAGATAGATAAGACTACAACCAATGAAGACCACGCCAATCGAAAGAAGGGGAAGTGATATCCATGTAATGCGTGTGTAATAGTCCATGGGGCCCCAGAAACTGTGCCTTGGAATCATGACCACCACAGATAGCTTCACTGTCTTAAACGTGTATGGCCAACTGTCAACAGAGTACCGTTTACCCTTCAAGATTACATCAGATACATGTGTTTCGCTCATAACCAAGTTGGCCAATCCAACCCGATTTTGAAGAAATGACTTTCCATCATTCAAAACTGAATTCCGATCAAGGGGTGTGTTTTCACACTCGCTTCGGTTACTCAAAACACAGACTGTTGGCTCAGACGAGAACAAAAGAGTACCGTGCTCATCCGCAATAAAGACGCTCCCCCCTGCCAAAGGTTGAGTCAGAAACAAGTATCCACAGATCATTTAAATAAAATGGTTTTCACTGCAACCCTAGGTTAGCAAGATTACGGGAAACCTGCGTGACATGAAAAAGAGCAGCAACGAAAACAGTTCAAATTCTTTTTTAAGGGAATGGTTGAGCTCTCAAATGACGATACTGTTGCATACCAATGACTCTCAAGTCTCACTTTTATGAAATGCACACTCTGGGGATTGCAACAATAGACACCTTTCAACTCCAGGGACGAGATAAAACTATTAATGGCAATAGCACTCAATGATGAGTGAACAAGAGCCACTTCTTTCGTAGCTCTTGCTTGTTTCGATATACCACACTGTACAAATGCCTGCCCACCTGCATGCAGATTGTCGTCAGCAATGTGCCACAAATCACATTCTGCTGACTCATCCTTAAATCAGATAACATTATACAACATCTATTGACACATTGAAGACTTCTTCAGGTCGATTGATATTCCACATACGATACAAAGTCCGAGTATAGCTGAAATCCTATTACAAAATCCTTTAGAATCAAGATCAAAATCAAAAATTATTAAACGGCACCTCCTCAGGTGAAAGAGCATGCATATCACATAATTTGAACACGACTACTACTATTCGAAAATTCATCCTCCACAACTGTGCTTACTTGTCAAGCTTCGACCGATGGTCCATGTAAGATTGTTGATAGGGTACGACATTGCTTTTTGGAACCAAGGTGTATCCTGAAGAGTATTTGGAAATTTTAGCACTAATGGTGGTCCCAATGGTTTACCAGTCGCCTCAGACACGTATTCCTTATAATAAACTGGTGCATCACTGGTGTCATTTGCATAAAGACAGAAGTTTCCTTTGAACCCTTCTATTTCATCTTTAAAACCGCGGTTATAAACTGCTGTAAGCCCATTGACAGCAGTCACTCCTAATGATGTCACCACTGGAAGAGCTTTGAATACGGCCCAAGAGGCGTCGCGGATCTGCAAAAAGGAAGGCCAGCTCATACATGCAGTGTATTACCTGATAATGCAGTCGATAATTTCCAAAACAATATTGAAATTAGGAACACAAATAAAAAAAATACAACACTCAATGAATAGTGGCAAGCTGGTTCCACATACTTTTTCTAAACAAGAATAAAAAAGGCTAAAAAACAAGCATCCAAGGCAGGAAATCTTTGCTGCCTGTAACCCAAAGTAGCAGACATGCCTGAATCATCTGTGCAATATGGTTCAAATTGGCTCTTCAATAGATCTCGTCTTTACATCACGTACCCTGTCAAAGTTGTCCTTGCTGAAGTCATCTCCCAAAAAACTCTTCTCCATCAGATTCGCAATGGCCATTGATCCATAAGTGTTCATCGAAAATATTTCATCCAGGAGTTCTGAAGTGTTTTCCAGAATTTCAAGACGAAGAGATTGCGAAAGGCTGGCAACTGCACTCTTTGGATAACTGTGCGTGAAATACCAGGTGCTTATAGTTAGAAGCCCCACCAAGACTGCCACGGTGATCTGTTAAAAGAAAAACATAAATCGTCACCTTGCAAATCAATACTCCATCTGCAATCAAACTCAAAATCCGTACTGACTCAAAAATAAGTAATACTCATAGTAATACTACTTCAACAACTACAATTTGATTTTAATTCTCTTCTTGTTTTAAGAAAGAGACTGAGGCAAAATTAAAAGTGCTGGAGAGTTGTTCAAGATCTTGAAGAAAATGTTACACGTTGAAATTTAATTCATAGCTAATCTTTGAATGGAGCATTATCGACGAAACTTACAGTCAGATTTATACTATGTGGAACAGATACTCAATAAGACAAGACTTTCCTGAGAATAACCTGATAAATGAGTAGAAAGGAATCTGGATGTCCTCACCATAATGACAACACGAGAGACAGTAAGGTTGCGGCTTGGATGCGGTAACTGCTCCATTTCGGGATCCAAGGGCCCATAAGACCCTTGTCGGTCCTTGGGCAGGTTCCATATTGTCGCAAGCCTGAACATTTTAAACTCCAAGAGACAGCGTGTGTCTACATACGAAATAAAACAAAGCCCAAAACATCCTCAAATGCAGATGACGTTCCTGCCAAAAGTGTCCTGTGCGCCATTACCCTGCTACTGCCAGTCTCCTGAAAGTCTCCTCTCTGTTCTAAAAAATGTTCACGCGACGATCAGTAGATGTAGAACCAATGGTCACAGAAGGCAATCGCCTCGCAGCATCCGCATTCGACTCTACCCTACTGCCCACGGCCTCCGTTCCTGGCCACTTCGGACTTGACCTGCTACCATCGAAAAGCACCATCTTTCGCTTGATAGCATGCCTTCCTGACCTATCTAAACCGCATCAAATTTCTGTTGCACCCCAGTTCTCTTTCTCTTCTAGTGTAATCGACTTCCCACATCTGTCATCAAGCAAAATCCTTGGAACCCTGGAATAGGTGTCAAATTGTAACAATCTTGTCAGGTAGACTGATGTTATTTGTAACCCTTTAACTGATTTCATCATGGAGAAGAGGAACCCTACATAGTTCTACGAATCTCTCTAAAAATTCACCCATGTCTAAACATTCAAACGTGAAAAAAGCAGGTGCCCTGAATTCCTCGCCACAAAATTGGGAAACACCACACTAGCGACCTCAAATCACGAACACACTTGAACCTATCTCAAACCTAGTAACAGAAACAATCCACAGCGCTTACTCCAAGATAAGCAACTTCACTAGTGTGACTTACAACCCAACCCTAAAGTTTTCTTTCGATACAATACACCCCAACTTCAAGTTACTCTGAAAACCCACAATCCAGAGAATCCAAGGAGCAGAGCAGGGAAGAGAGCGAAGAATAGACGATGAATGTAGAATCGTAACACAAATCGCATACGTGACGCCTACAGCAACCTCAAACTGTCATCAAGCCCACCAAACTTTACAGCCTATTGAAAGGTAGGCAGGGCACTGTGGATGGAAGAAGAGACGAGTATGAATAAGAGGTGATGGTGACCAATTGAGCTTGTCGAGCTTGTAAGATCTAATTCACCGGTCGATTTCCATTCTGATCAAGAGAAAGAAGTAATCAAGAGGTTTAAACCAGAAAACTTCAACATTACTCCTCCCAGATTTGCATCGAGTATATTCATAGGTTGAACAGTCTCCTCAGATCGTAATGCTCAACATGCCTCACGGCAACAAGTTCGAGCTTCCAAATTCCATGACTCTCGACGTATCTATCTCAAAGATAACTCCCCTGGCTTTTCTCAGCCTGATCGCTCCATCTCATCTCTCCGGGCTCAAAATCCCTCTCTCTCTCTTTCGCAATCCTTCTTTCCTGCTCTCGATTTCCTGTTCCAACTTGATGACCTTGACCATTACCATGATTCTGACTTATGCCCCTAATTTCTCGCCTTTGCCTAATCTCAGCCCTACGATGCCCACATGCTGATGTGGGTTTCCCTCAACCCCACGCAAAGCTGTACGACTCCTACTTTTTGAAGCTAACAGAGGGTTATGGATGAAAGTTCTATGGAGCATATTCACCATCACTACCTTCCAGATCAGTCCATCGTCTCCACACCTCGTTCGCAAGACAAAGTCGAAAACAAAATGATAAAAATTTGAAAAAAGGAAAAAAAAATTTAAAAATCTGCTGTCGCATAGACTGAAAGAAGAGTCCAACGTTAACATACAAGGGAACATTCACTCAAGAGAAATCCACAACACAACCTCATGTGTATGGGAGAGAGAAGCCTGAAGGCAGAGGGAGACAAAAAAGTGTAGATCCCCCCCCTCAAGGAAAAGGGAGGGAGGGAAAGTCTCTGATGTAATACCCACCCTCACAGCTCCTCCCTGCCTAGCTGGCTATGCAATGCTTCCTTGTCCTCAATTCAATTCTGTGTTACTGGTTGAACACCACACAGTCAAGTGGGGGGGGGGGGGGGGGGATGGGTGGCATTTGAGAGGAACAACAGGATGAAGTTGTTGGATACTGAAAAATTATTAATTTAATGTATAGGATGGAATGATATCATCATCGTCATCAGCATCATCATCCTGTAGATTGTGTTGTAACAAGCTGTGGCCACAACTTCCAGTCAGAAGGAACGAGGAGGATGGATGTTGGAGTGGGTGTTGGTTGGGCCCAAAGGCCAACCTCGAAACTCTCCACCCCCTCTTTCCAAACTGATTTGTGTGGATGAGGTGAGGACACTCAGTCTAACCTCAGCTTTGCTCACGCAGGGGGTTCAACAGCCAACTCTTACACGCCCATGCCTCTCTGTTGCCCACCCCCCACCTCCTGCTTTTGCTTTTGCTTTTCCTCTTCCTGCCTGTCCTTTCCCTTTCCTTTTCCTTTCCTTCCCATTCCAGAGTTGCTTCTGCCCTTAGGCCTGTCTGCACCCTGGTTCACTGCTGTGTGGCACCTACCACGGACATGGAGTTCACACAGAATCTGCTTTGCTCTGATCCAGAAACGCAGCAACTACTAACAAAAAAAACCAGAATTCTCCAGATGCACAGAACTGGGGATACCTCCCCATTTATTAGCATCTCCTCCCACATACCTCACGCTGTGTTCAACGTAAATGAGAATACCAACACTGATAAATGAAATATTTTCACACTTCGAATCTTATTATTTTATGTTCAAACGTAAGCAAAATCCGGTTTCTATACACTATTATTAAATCAATATCTCATTTTCCCTCATTCCAATTTTTTAAATGTTGTGATGACATACTATCTAATGGATATTTCATTAGAATATTTTATTGTTATACCAAAATTTGCATTCAACTCTATGTTGATAATCAAACCATAATTTACAGTTTTTATTGTTACTGATTCTAGAATGAAGTCAGTAGAAAGTAATTTGAAAGGATTAACTTAACTTCTGAATATGGATTACAATTTTTGAATTTTTGCCATATTATAAAATTTTAATTTATGGATGATATAATATATTATAAGTCTATATTTTAAAAATAAACAAATAAAATTTAATAATTCAATACAAATATGCTAAACTAATAAATATTCGTTATAATTAGTTGTCGTTTGATTTTTAATTCTTTGTAGATGATCAAATTAATTTTAATTTAAAATTTAGCATTAAACAGGCTTTTTAAAAATCAACAGACCAACTTCCAAAAAAATTATATACGATTTTTCTCAAATAGAGTATTTAATTTTTACATTTAAAAATACCACATTTTATAATAAAGTGAATTTTTGATAACTACTCTCAGTTGTTTTTCACTAATAAAACCAATCTACAAATATTAGTACATCATTTTAAAATATCATCTAGTAAAATTAATAATAAGAAATTGTTTGTATTCAAATAATATGTTCAAAATGGTCTGAATGGCTTCTTATTACATCAAACATCAGTAATAGAATTTGGGTTTATCTCTTATTTTATACTATTTTTATTTTTATTTTACTTTAATTTGTGTCCATTATCATAATTTATTTTATTGATAATGAAATTATATTTTTTATATCACAGGTATTTATATATTTTTATGTATATATATATATATATATATATATATATAATTAGATGACCATGAAGAAACCAAGTCAAGGCCATTAAATTTGTCCAAATATTAAAATAAAGTCCCAAAAAAATCATTGCACATTTGATTGGATAAAAAGATTATAAAAATTATTTTATTGAATATAGAAGATGCGTGTTTTAAATATCTAAAATAATCTAAGTAAATAAAAGAAAATAGAAGTATAAAAATAAATTAGTTAGATAATATCTTCTTCAAAAATACATTGAAAAAATTATCTAAATATGAATTAGATTTACATGTATTTTTATCTGAATATATAAAATTCTTCTAAAATTTATTTACTTCAATGAAGCCATTGTAAATACATAGTAAAAACATCCTTCAAATTAAATATTTGGTTTGCAAGTCTTGTAATTGTTAGAAAAATTCTACATTCTTTCTAGGTAGCATATATTTAGGCAAGACTAAATATTTAAAAACATCAAATTAATGAAAACACTAATATTTTTTTCAATTGATATTATATTTTTATTTCTAATCCATCAATATGTTTTGATTCTTTTTTTAGTAATATAATTGATAAAAAAATAAAAATATTGATAATACATAAAAAATTATTATTAAAATTAATATTAAGATTAATTAAATAAAAAGATTCAAAGATGTCAATTTTTTTGGTTATAAGTATACTATCTCTAGTAATTACAATTATTAAAATTTATTATATAAATAAGATTTTATCTATTAAAGATATTAATTTTATTAAAATTACTTATTATAAACCATAATAAATTTTATTATTAATTATCTTAATAGTCTCATAAATTATTAATTTTAAGAATTATTTATAATTCTAATAATCTAATCATTGTATTATAATTTAATGACCTAATTAAAGAAAAAAAAGTCTAAAAGCTACAAATACTTAGCATTAGTAAGATTTGCATACAAACAGAAGTCAAGAGTAAGATAACTCTTACTTCTAACACCTTTTACTTATATGTCATGGTTGCTAACCAACGAGACAACTTCCATCCTTTTGATATTATATCCATTTCTACTTCATCTAATTATATCCTAGGTTCTTTCTTAACTTAGCCGCCACCTACAAACCCCAGTTGCCACCATATTAACTTCCTTTAATTCTTTGTTGCCTTTTGACTATTAACACTATACTATGCTTAATCTCTATGTGGTTATAACTAAAAAAGTACTTTTTGATCTTCAACACTCCTACTTTGCTAATTTTCAAAAGGCTTTCAATCCTAATCTCTGTATCAACTTGTAATGTCTATCCTTCACTAATGCCTTTGTAAGCACATTAGCAAGCATGTCATTTGTAGCACAATATTTCATACTTATTATTCTATCTTCAATTTTCTCTCATATGAAATAATGTTGAATATCAATGTGTTTGGTCCTTGAATGGTATTTTGGATTTTTAGCAAATGCAAGACATCCTTGATTGTCACACATAATTAGAGTTGTTTCTAATTACACTAATCTAATGTCTTCTAAGAGTTGCCTTCTCCAACACGCTTCCATTGCACAATGACTTGTTGCCATGTACTCTACCTTCGTTGTTGATCTTGCAATGGTAGATTAACTCTTGCAATTCCATGAAATAGATTCTAATCTAATGAAGAAGATATATCACATTGTAGATCTTCTATTAATTACATCTTCTTTTAGTCCTAAATGACTACTTACAACCAATACTAGATCGATTTATTGGAAGATGTATCAATTCCCATCTACCATTATCCATAAGAGATTGGTACTCTTCTTCCATAGCCTTCTCTCACTTGATTGTATCTTGGGACTTTAATGCATCACACAAAAATAACGGATCAGTAAGAAGAGCAACATTTGTATTTTCTTTACTTTGAGAAAGATGTGATCCTTCGACCATTCATCATGTTGCCTTCTTTTTCTCAAAGGATATTTACTTTCATTTATAGAAGAACATTCACCTTGTTGCACCCTATGTTCTTTTCCAACCTTCTTCTCTCTTAAACCTTGTCATTTCTCACTCAATGGTTGGTACTCCTCATCATCATTATAATCTTCAACATCTTCATTTCCTTCATTGTTGTTCCTAGCAATTGTAGGAGCCTTCATCTTTTCAACTTGTAAGTGGATTTTTCTCCCCTCACTTAAATTTAATTTAATTAGATTAAAATTTATATTAGAGCTCAATATTAATTGATGTGGAGATGCAAATCATATATAAGATAAGAAAAACTAAATGATATAATAATCAAGATTAATCCAACAATACAACAAGTTAGTTACATATTTTTATGATTTAATTTTTAGCATTTGTAGTTCATTTAGTTAAGTACCTTTTAAGACTTATTCCATCAAACTTAAACTCTGAAAATTACGAATTAGAATAAAATAAAATAAAACAATGAATACCATACTAGAGTGCTAGTCTAGGGCTTTCCAAGATGGTATTACTCATATAAATCAGAGTTCTATATATGAAGTTATTTACAGATGAAGTTATGATGATAAAACTTCATCTAAAATTTAAAAATTCAGTAATAAATAGCCTTAAATATTTAAGTTCAGCACTAACATAATATTAAGATTTTAAAGATAAAAGTCGAAAATTGAAAGATTAAAAAAATAAAAATAAAAAATAAAAAATAAAATTAAAATTAAAGTTAGAATTAATAATTAAAAGTTAAGTGAAAGTTTAAAAGTAATAGAAGTAAAAGTTGAAAGTTAAAAGTAAAAGTTTAAAGATTAAGGTTAAAAGAAACAAGAAAAAATTAAAAGATCAGATTAATTTTTATTTTATTTCTCCAACAAATTTCAGCACAAAATGTAGGTAAGT